TGCCCTTAAGGATGTGTTCTGACCCCTAGGACATTTTGAAAAGCTCTCCATTGAGTTTCTTTCCACAATGCATTAGCAGTCCCGGGCAGGTTGGCTTTATATATATATATATATATATTGTTGTTGTTTTTGTTTTTTGTACTTATGTCCAGACAAGTAACTCTTTGACCTCTAGGGTGATCCTTGGACCTCAGGGGTGATCCCTTCCTAGGCGCCAAATGCAGCATTCAAAATGGTGAGGGGAAGAATATGGCTAGAGTTAAATAAGAGCATGCGTACTCAGTGGCCTCCTAGAAACATCTCTGTGCTGCTACGCTTGGGGCAAATCTGCCTGCTGCTGCCCTCAGGGCTGGGTTCCCTTCAGAGCTGAGATGCTTCCAGGGTGCTGGAGACAGGGGCTGTGGCAGGGTGGTGCCCACCATGTGCTAAGGAAGAGGTCCTCAAGGACCAGGGGCCTCCCGTGTGGGGGTGCTTTCTCCTCTGTAGCATCAAGGACTTGGGCTTGTGTGTGTGCCTGTTTCAAATTTTTGTTTAGATTTATCTGTTTATTTGAAAGGCAGAACAAGTGAGCAAGCGTGTGAGAGAGATATCTTTCATCTCTGGGTTCACTCCCCAAATGGCTGCAATAACCAGGATTGGGCCAAGCCAAAGCTAGGAGCCAGGAACTCCCTCCTGGTCTCTGACATGGGTGGAAGGGGTCCAAGCACTTGGGCCATCTTTCGCTGCTTTCCCAAGTGCATTAGCAGGGAGCACATTAGCACAGACTCAGAGTGGTAGCTGAGACCTGAACCAGTGCTCTGATATGGGACACCAGTGTTGTAAGTAGGGGCTAAATCCACTACTGCAACGTTAGTCCCTTAAGTTTTAAATTTATTTTTACTTTTATTTATCTTAAAGACACACAACACAGAGAGAGAGAGAGAGAAGAAATATTCCATCTGCTGGTTCACTCCCCATCTTCACATGAGTGGCAAGACTAAACTATTTGAGCCGTCACTTGCTGCCTCCCAGGGTGCACATTAGTAGGAAACTGGATTCAGAAATGGAGCCAGGACTTGAACCCAGATCCTCTGATATGCCATGTGGACATCCCAAGCAGTGTCTTAACCAGGGTGCCAAATGCCTGTGCCCTGGGTTTATTTTGTGTACTTCTCGAGTGAGTGAACGATCGATCATCCTCTGTTGTTGGCTTGGGTTTTTTGTTTTGGTTTTAATTTGAGAGGCAGAGTTACAGAGAGAGAGAGAGAGAGAGAGAGAGAGAGAGAGAGAGAGAGAGAAAGGTCTTCCATCTTCTGGTTCACTCCCCAAATGTCCTCAGTGGCTAGAGCTGGGCCGATCTGAAGCCAGGAGCCAGGAGCCTCTTCCAGGTCTCCCACACGGGTGCAGGGGCCCAAGGACTTGGGCCATCTTCTACTGCTTTCTCAGGCCATAAGCAGAGAGCTAGATTGGAAGATGAGCAGCCAGGGCATGAACTGGTGTTCATACGGGATGCGGGTGTCATAGACAGAGGCTTACCCTGCTACGCCACAGCGGCTGCCCCTTGGCTTAGGTTTTGAATAAAGAGCGTAGCTTCCCCTTGGCCCCTGGACCCAGCTACAGAAACTGCTCCCCTCTCCCCGTCCCCTCCCTGCCTGTGTCCTGCTTTCTGTACCTGCCAACACTTGCGGCCACGACAAAGGGACCACCCGTCCCCACAGAGCTCATGTGGAGTTGTTCTTCTAGGTCCCAAGTGGGTTGTGAGGCTCCGGTGTCTGAAGATGGCTGTTCTCAAGCTTGGCTGTCAGCTGGAATCACATAGCCATGTCTGAGGCTCATCCCTGGGTTTTCTGACTTAACACATGGAGCGCCAGCAGCCTGGCCAAGACAACTAACTAACTAACTAACTAACTAACTAACTAACTAGCTTCCTTCCTTCCTTCCTTCCTTCCTTCCTTCCTTCCTTCCTTCCTTCCTTCTTCCTCCCTCCTTCCCTCCCTCCCTTCCTTCCAAGATTTATTTTATTTACTTGAAAGGCAGAGTTACAGAGACAGGTAGACACACACACACACACACACACACACACAGAGGTCTTTCTTCCTCTGGTTCACTCCCCAAATGGCCATAACGGCTGGAGCTGGGCTGATCCAAAGCCAGAAGTCAGGAGCTTCTTCCGGGTCTCCCATGTGGGTGCAGGGGCCCAAGGACTTGGGCCATCTTCTACTGCTTTCCCAGGCCATAGCAGAGAGCTGGATCAGAAGTGGAACAGCCGGGACTCGAACTGGTGCCCATATAGGATGCCGGCACTGCAGGCTGGGGCTTTAACCTGCTGTGCCACAGTACTGGCCCCAGTGACAACTTTTCAAAGCTCCCTAGGTTTTAATGTGCAACAGAGTTTGCGAACCTTTGATGTAAGACCTTGTTCCTCCACGTGGACTCCACAGGACAATCGCATCATCAACTTAGCAGAAATGCAGATCAGGCCCCCTTAGACCTACCAAACCCAAATCCACATCTTAGCCAGGGTCTTGCTTATCTGCATGCACATTCAAGTTTGGGACGCACTGCTTTAAGAGGGTGGGGGCGGAATCTACCTTACTTACGATCTCTGTGCTCCTTGGCCATTGCCCGATATGTCAGCCCCTCCAAGAGCCCTGTTCCTTGGGCAGTAGCAGTCCTTGAACGTTTAGCCACCTGGGAGTTAAAGGGGACACCTTCCACGCAGCACTCGTCTCCCTTCTAACGCCAGCTGCCAGTTCAGGGGTCCCCTGGACCATGCTCAGTGGTCCTGACTGCAAGGGCCCACAGGACTGACTCAAGGCTGTCACACCCAGGGTTGTGTTACCAGAAGCTCAGTCTCTGTTTCCAGTGTTGAAGCAAAGGTGTGGAGGTGGAGGAAAGGGAAAGTTTAATCTAGCTGTGGGTGAGGACGACAGCCGGTTGACATTTTGAGGGCTGCCGTCCTGTGCAGTGAGGAGGGTCTGGGGTTTGTCCAGAGGCTGCAGAGGAGATGGGGCCGCTGAGCCCGCTGTGAGCCCGGCGCTGAAGCCCGCTGCGGCTCTGCCAACAGGTGTCTCGGCCGACGGTACGCTTGCTTGGGAAATTTACTTGATGGCTTGACTTCCTCCGGAGGAGGGAATCGCAGGATAGTCTGTGAAACTCAGCAGCTGCAAAATGTTATTTGGCTGAGGTCTCAAAAGCGTCAGAGTGTTGTGGTAAGAGATTCCAGTGTTTCATTAATCACGGCGACGTCCACTCAGCCCGGAGCCCACGCGTCCTGTAGCTGCCCGTGCTGCTTCCTTCCCTCTGTCCATTCTGTTACCATAAATTCAAGCTGCCAGTCGTGCCCACCAGGCAGGCCAGATCACTTTGCAACTTCAGCTGGCTTTCTCAAGGCCAGTTTCTGGAATTCACCAGCAAGCATCGTTTGTTTGAAGACACGCTAGTCAGTCACAGGCTCGGTAGTCCTCAGAATAGGAAAAGGAGAAGAAAAATGGCTTTGGTTTGGTTACAGTTACGATCTCTTATGGGGCAAGGACACAGGCTCAGCAGCCAAGGCACGGAGACGGGACTGAGTCCAGGAAAGCGCTCAGTGCACGTAGATGCTGTGGTCTCCTCCCTGTGGAGTCCCGGGCAGGGCCGCTCTCACCGCGTCCGTGTGAGACTGTGTTCCGGGAGGACAGAGGCGCCTCAGGTTGCGGTGGGGTTACATCTTAGGAAACCACTGTGAGTTGAGAATATCCTAAGTGGAAAATGCGCTTAAGCCACCTCACCCAGTGCACATCACAGCTCTGCACCCTGCCCGGCCTCGCTGTGCCCCCTTGAGACTGTGGGGCTGGCTGGGAGCTGCCAGCACCCAAGCCCAGGAAAGATCCAAAATTCACAACTCTAAGTGTGGTTTCTACTGAATGTGAATAACTTTCCCACCACTGTGAAGCTGAAAAATTGTAGGTTGAACCAGCTTAAGTTGGAGACCCTGTGTATGGCCTAGTTGGGAAGCGCATGAGGATCTTTGGGGTCCAGAGCCTTTTTCAAAGGATGTATTTATTTATTTGAAAGGCAGAGTGATGGAGAGAGAGAGGGAGGAAGAGAGAGATTTCATCCATCTGCTGGTTCATTCCCCAGGTGGCTGCAACAGCCTGGTTGGGGGCAGACTGAGGCCAAGAGCCAGTAACTCCATCGGGTTTCCCACATGGATGCAGGGGCCCAAGGACTTGGGCTATCATTCGCTGCCTTGCCAGGTGCATAGCAGGAAGCTGGGTTGGAGTGGAGCGGCTGAGACTTGAAACTGTACTCTGGTATGGGGTGCTTGCGGAATGCTGGTATTGCAAGTGGTGGCTTAATCTGCTGCACCACAGCATCAGCCCGTGGGGTTCAGAGTCTTTACTGGGCTTAGCCACATGAGCACAGCTCACTGTGCACATGGCCAGTGTCAGTGTGCAGGCCCACAGTCCTGAGTCTCAATCACACGCCGTTAGGTAGAACCCAATGCCCCAGCAAAGAAAGACAGCCCCTCAGGCAGGACACTCTGAGGGCTTAGCATCCCCTCCAAGAGGCCAGGGCAAAGGCAGACCTCTTCACTGTACACTCCGTTCTGCTCAGTCCTGCTCCCGAGGTCTCTGACTGCCCTCCAGCCCTTCCTCCAGCCTTCTCTGCTTCCCTAAGCCTTTCCCCATGCCCTTTGGGGACATGCCCACCTCTGTCTGCATCGCTGGCATCCTATGTGGGCGCCAGTTCTAGTCCCAGCTGCTCCTCTTCTGATCCTGCTCTCTGCTGTGGCCTGGGAAAGCAATAGAAGATGGCCCAAGTGCCCACATGGGAGACCCAGAAGAAGCTCCTGGTTCCTGGCTTTGGATCAGCCCAGCTCTGGCCATTGTGGCCCTTTGGGGAGTGAACTAGCAGATGGAAGACCTCTCTCTCTGTCTCTCCCTCTCTCTGTCGCTCTACCTCTCAAGTAAATAAATAGAATCTTTACAAAGGGGGGGGGGGGGACGGGCCGGCGCCGCGGCTCACTAGGCTAATCCTCCGCCTTGCCGCACCGGCACACTGGGTTCTAGTCCCGGTCGGGGCGCCAGATTCTGTCCCAGTTGCCCCTCTTCCAGGCCAGCTCTCTGCTGTGGCCAGGGAGTGCGGTGGAGGATGGCCCAAGTGCTTGGGCCCTGCACCCCATGGGAGACCAGGAGAAGCACCTGGCTCCTGGCTTTGGATCAGCGTGATGTGCTGGCCACAGCGCACCGGCCGCGGCGGCCATTGGAGGGTGAACCAATGGCAAAGGAAGACCTTTCTCTCTGTCTCTCTCTCTCAGGGTCCACTCTGCCTGTCAAAAACAAACAAACAAACAAACAAAAACAAAGGGGGGGTATTTCAGCACAGTATCTGCTACACTTAGGACACATTAATAGGTGTTAGAGATTATTTTTATTATGATGATGACTCGAGCTAGGATCTCAGCTTCACCACATGTTCACCCTGGGATCTTTCTTGGTCTTCTCATCTGCAAACTGGGGGCAGTGGGGTGATAATGCCTCTTCATAAGCTTATTGTAAAGATTTAAATGAGGCAATGTGTGTAAGGTTGCATCCCTTTAGTTTCATCCAGTAAATGTTCTCTTATTTTTATCCTCATCTCTCCTTATACTTTTAAAAGTTATTGATTGATTGATTGATTTGAAAGGCAGAACAACAGAGGGGGAGAGAGATTGATAGGAAGAAAGATGTTCCTCCCACAGTTCATTCCCCTGTGTGAAAATTGAGGCCAGGCCAGGCTGAAGTCAGGAGCCAGGAATTCCATCCGAGTCTCCCACATGGGTGCCAGGGACCCGACTGCCTCATCCGTGGTCTGTTGTCTCCCAGGGTGCACACCCACAGGAAGCTGGATCAGAAGCGGAAGGGCGAGACTCCAGCCCAGACAACTCTGATATGGGATGTGGGTGTCCCAAACAGCAGCTTGCCCCACTACACCACAACACTTGCTCCCATCACTTCTCCTTCTTCTTTTGTTTATTCCCTGCGGTAGGTATAGACTTAGGGAACTAAGCTTATTACAAACCTTTGTAAAATGACCAGGCCCCTTAGGGCCTTTCCAAGAGTCAAACATTGTTTAATGAATAGTCTCTGTTAAATCTGTTTTGACTGTGCAGGATCATCTTGTGCTGTGTCTCAGTTCGTTGGCTGATCTAGATGAGTGGATGAGTTCCAGGTGAGTGAAGCAACTGTTCAGGACATTCTGCCGATAAACTCGTGTCGGTTCTGATTTGTGAGTGTGACTCAAACACAGCCTGGCAACAGTGGAGCTGTAGTTCAAATGCTTTGTTTTCCTCTCTGAGGATACTTTTAAAATGTGTGTTTGCATTTGGAAAATGCTATGTACAAAGCCCTCTGGTTACCCAAAAAGATCTTTAACAAGCTTCGTATACAGTATGAATTGTATTGTCTCGCAGGATATGTGAAAACATCTGTTTTCCTTTGAATGCACAGTAAACATGGAAGGATCTCTTGGGATATCGTTTAAGTCGACGTAATGCAACATTCAGGAATGATAAACAAAATATAATCACAGTCATCAGGGCATGTGCACATTTCATATTAATGACACCGGAGCCTTATGTTTAATGCAGTGTTAAAAGTCGACAATTAACCATGGTGGAGTCAGGAAATTCAATTAAAATTATCACAGTCATATGAATTTAGCCACATCCTGTATTAGTTATGAAATCCATTTAACACCACAAGCAATAATGTTTTCAGCTAGTTTATTCAAAAGGAAAATAAGAACAAAACCACTAATGCCATGTATCCTCTGTTAATGGGGTCAGGCTGATTTCTGGGGAGCGAAACTTGATTTCTACATATTTGAATGGCCAGTCATTTAATCTGAGTAGTGCATTTCCTTGCTTGTTGCATAATTTCTCTCAACAGCAGAAAGACAGAACAGAAAACAGAGGAGCTTTTCTCTTCCCCCTACTCCTCCCTGAGAGCTGTGGGTAGAGTACTGCCTGCAGTGTCAGCATCCCATATGGGCACTGGTTCGAGACCCGGCTACTCCACTTCTGATCCAGCTCTCTGCTGTGGCCTGGGAAAGCAGTAGAAGATGGCCCAAGTCCTTGGGCCCCTACACCTATGTGGGAGACCTGGAAGAAGCTCTTGGCTCCTGGCTTCGGATCAACCCAGCTCCAGCCATTGCGGCCATCTGGGGAGTGAACCAACAGATGGAAGACCTCTCTCTCTCTTTCTCTCTGCCTCTGCCTCTCTGTAATTCTGCCTTTCAAATAAATAAATAAATCTTAAAAAAAAAAAAGATAACCAAAGTCAAGAAAGTGCTAGAACTTCAGCTACCCTCTCAAATGCCCCTGACCACGTACTGTAAGAATGATGATAGAAAAGTGGTCTCTAGAAGGACTTCTTGGGGATGGCACCTGTGTTCATTCAGTTGCTCAAGTCAGAAATCTGAGAACCATTGCTGATCCCTAATCCCTCACTAGGCTTTGTAGCTACTATTTAGTGAACAGGTCTCAGTTCCACTCGATTCTGCTGAATCCCCTTGCTACCATACGAGTTTAATGGGCAATCATTTCTCCATAGATCTCTGGAACACACTCCAGCCACTCTTCCTCTGTCCTACAGTGCTCCTCCTCTTAAAGCCCCCAGGTGACTTCTCTCTGACCAGGATCACTTAATGGGACTGGCAAGGCCCTTTGTGATGGACTTCCCCAAACTCCTCCCTCACCACTCTTCAATCCAGTTTCCAGATGAGTGGCGTTGTTTTCAGTTCCTCAGCTGCTTGGTGACTATCGTGTGCTCAGGATCGTTGAACACAGCATCTCCTGTTTCCTTGTGTCTTTGCCAAGGCACCATCTCCTCTGGGAAGAGTTCTCTGATACCCTCTGTGAAGAATATTGAGATGGTTGCCTACTCAGCATCCATTTCCCATTCACCCAAGCTCTGTGCAAGGCAGTAATGTGCCCAGCTGGAAGACTACATTTCTAGTCTGTTCTGAAGCTAGGAGTGGTCATGTGACAGCAACCTGGCCAGTGAAATAATTGTAGAAGTTGAAGGGTGAGATTTCCAGGGAAGCTCTTCAAAGGAGTAATTCCTCTTTTCTCATTTTACTCTTTCTTCCCTTCTTCCTAAAATGCAAAACAAATGTCAGAGGCTCCAGAAGCCATCTTAGACAATAAGGTGATGTTAAAGTGGAAATAGCACCTTATGATGGTGAAATAGAAAAGACATCTGGCTCCTGCATGGCCTTGGAGTTGCCACACCTGCCCTGGTTTACCTATCAATGGAATTAATTTGCATGAGAGAAAACAAACTTTATGAGTTTAAATCCTTGCTAATTTTTTTTGTTTGTTTATAGCTAAATGAATTTAATCCTAACATTTTAATACTAACTGGATCTATTGCTTAGAGCCAAGCCAATAAGTCTTGAAGTTGGGTAGCGTCATTTCTCTTTGTTCTTCCTCAGTTTTCTCTTGGCTATTTTGGGTCTTGTGCCTCTTTATATAAACTTTAGTGTGAAATGTGCAAAGATAATTTCTTGGGATTTTATTGAATTGTATTGAATCTGTAGATTGAGTTGTGAAGAAATGACATCCTGATAATATTGAGTGTTCCTATCCGTGAACATGTATTATGTATCCATTTATTTGGTTCTTTCTTGGTTTCTTTTATTAGAGTTTTTAATTTTCCTCATTTATAGTTTGCATACATTTTGTTAGGATTATATCCAAATAGATTATTTTAGGGGGTTCTAATATAAATGGCATTGTGCTTTTAATTTCAAAATACCAGTTGCTTATTGCCGGTATAAAGGAAAGTGATTGACTGTTGTGTCTTAACCTTGTATCCTGCAACCTTGCTTTAATTGATTATTAGTTTAAGGAGTTTTCAATTGATTCTTTCAGAATTCCTTCACAGACAATAATGTCTTTTATTTCTTTCTTCCCAATATGTATATTTAAACTTATTTTTCCTGTCTTATTTCACTAGCTAGGATTTCCAGTACAATGTTGAAGTACAAAAAGAAATTATGCCTTGTTCCTTAATTTAGTAGAAAAGCTCTGGTTTCTCTTCCGTAAGTCTGAAGTTCACTGTAAGGTTGTGTGTGTGTGTGTGTGTGTGTGTGTGTGAATGTTCTTTATTATGCTAGAAAAGTTCCCTGTATCCCTAGTTGTCTGAGGATGTGCTGGCCATTGAGGGTGCTCACATTTCTATTAGCCAGTTGGTAATTTATGAGAGGAGCAGGGGCTGGGGCAGAGCCCGTGGCAGGTGAGATCCAGACCAGCAGAAGGCCACAGCTCCTCCCTGCAGTTCTGCCATCTCCCAGCTGATCATCCTGGCCAAGTCGTGTGAGCCTCCGGTTCCGTCTTGTAAAATGCGCTAAATAAGGGAAGGCATGCAGAGGGCTTAGATTCTGGGGACATGACGAGTCCTCAGTGGATTTTGCTGTTACTGTTTATTCTTGGGTGGGGTTCCTGTCCCAGGATGTCCTGCCCTGTGCCCTAGGACCAGACTCCAAAGGCCATTCCATTCTCTCTTGATTTGAAATACTTAGTCCCTAAGACTTTTTCTGGGTAGTAGGTATATAATTTCCTGAGGACTTTTCTCTGAATTCCCAACAGAATCAGGAAAACTCCTATCTTTTAAGTGATTGGTTGCTTTTTAAAGATGGTTTATATTTAATGCCTTCCCTTAGATGTCATTTTTCTTGTTCACCTTACTTCTTTTGGAATGGAGCAGGTAGTCCAACCTCCTGGCTGAGTGGCTTCTGGTGAAGATGGTGGAGGACCTGAGACCAGGAGCAACTTCCAGCAATTTCTTTGGTTGTTTTCCATAGATGCAGAATATATTTATTGTTTGGGCCAGTCCAGGACATAGGTCACCTGACCTTAGAATCACAAATGGATGATTGTACCACCCTACCTAAAACAGAGGAACAGTGGTTATACAATGAGATATTAACTAACGTACCTGGTGTGGTCCCAGTGGCAGCATTGTTGGTCCGTGTAGAAAGGCGAGGTGACGAGCTTCCCAGCACCTGCTACTTCTAACCTATCTGAAATGCAAAGCCAGGAGCCTCTACAATCCGCACATTCTATATGTTAGCTCCTATGAATTTCTTTGTTGAACCTTTACTAAATTATTTCCATGCAATACACTCTTACCCCTAAATCAAAAATGACTAAGCTGACTAAACATCCATGGGTTTTTGAAATGCTCACTTAAATTCAGTGATATTGAGGTGTAATTTTTTAAAATATGTATGATTATTTGAGAGGTAGAGTTACAGACAGAGGGAGAGACAGAGAGAAAGATCTTTCATCCATCCCAAATGGCTGCAAAAGCCAGAGCTGGACTAATTCGAAGCCAGGAGCCAGGAGCCTCCTCCAGGTCTCCCATGTGGGTGCAGGAGCCCAGGCACTTGGGCCATCTTCCACTGCTTTCCCAGGCCATAGCAGAGGGCTGGATTGGAAGAGGAGCCACCAGGACATGAACTGGTGCCCATATGGGATGCTGGGGCTGCGGATGGAGTCTTAGCCTACTAAGCCACAGCGCTGACCCCTTGAGGTCTAATCTCCATACAATAAATGAATCCATTTTGACAAATATGTGCTACCATGTAACAACCCCAAAATAAAGATATAGAACATATTCATCACCCCCAGAAGATTCCTTATGAGCTTTCCCAGTCCCTACTGTTTTGCTTTCTCTCTATGTAGATTATACTGGCCTTTCTGGAGTCCCATGAAAATGGAATCACACAGCACCCACTCCTGGTCTCTCTTCCTTCATTCAGCATAATGCTTTTGATTCATCCAGGTTGTGCACACCAGGAATGTCTTGTTTTTATTTTTTAATTTTTTAAAATATTTTATTTATTTATTTGACAGGTAGAGTTACAGAGAGAGAGAGAGAGAGAGAGAGAGAGAGAGAGAGAGAAAGGTCTTCCTTCCGTTAGTTCACCCCCCAAATGTCTGGTGTGCTGTGCCGATCAGCAGCCAGGAGCCAGGTGCTTCCTCCTGGTCTCCCATGCGGGTGCAGGGCCCAAGCACTTGGGCAATCCTCCACTGCCCTCCCGGGCCACAGCAGAGAGCTGGCCTGGAAGAGGGGCAACCGGGACAGAACCTGGCACCTACATGGGATGCCGGTGCTGCAGATGAAGGATTCACCAAGGGACCATGGCGCCGGCCCCATCTTATTTGATTACTGGATAGTTCCCTTGTTGAATGTACTAGAGTTTGTTTATCCATTCACCAGCTGATAGACATTTGGGTGTCTGCTTTGGGCCATTTTGAAGAAAACTGCTACAAACATTATAATACAAGTCTTTGTGTCAACGTGAGGTGCATTTGTACCTCACAAAAATTCTGGGGCCTGCCACTGCTGTGAAATTTCCCAGCGTTTCTGGGCATTTCTGCACATAAAATGTGAGAATATGTGTCCCATACAAATACCCAAAAAGCAACTGCAGCAGGGTAAGATTGCAGTAATTAAGTGGACAAGATGTTCCATCCTGAGAGCATCCGCCCACTTCTTTTCCCAGCAACCAGTCCCTTGCCCAAAGGGCTTACAAACATAAGGCCATGGGGACAGGGCTATGGATGGACACAGCAACACGGCTTTCCACTTGCTAAGTGTAATTTGGCTGCCACCACTGCTGAGCATTTAACTGCCAAGAATAGAAATCCACACCAATATGGCATGAGCCCTTGGGGTAGAGGAGGTGACTACAAAGCCACCTGGTGTTGGGCTGAGCACCCTAGGCCACGTCCATCATGGAAGGGGCAATGCTTTCCTTCATTGGAATAGGTGTTTTCTCTGGGTATGGATTTGCCTTCCCTAACCTCAGTGCTGTGCCAGGCCCACCATCTCTGAACAGAATTTTGTTTGTAATGAAATCCTACCCACCGTACCTCTGTTCAAGGCAGTGATTCTACTACAAAAGCAGGACAGTGGCTTCACGATCAAGGTCTTCTTTGATATTCATTGGGAGCAGGTGGCTTGATTAGCAAATGGAATGGGTTTTGAAAGGCTCACATATAGCACAGCTGGGTGTCCAGCCTTTGCAGACCTGGAGTTAAGTCCTCCAGGCTGAAGTACAGGCTCTGAGCCACCTCTGCACGATGCTACTTCTCCCATAGTCAGAATTCGTGGGTCCAGGAATCATGGGTTAAAATGGAGTGACTTTTCTTACTGTCGCCCCTGGTGTGGGCTCTGCTAGTCTAGAAGAAAGTTCCTAAGAGAGTAATAATGTTGCTGTAAGGGAACCCACAATGATTCCAGGAAATTGGAAGGTGAGTTTGCTCTCTCCTATGCCAGTGAAGCAACAGGCAAATCCACCTCACAGGGGGTGGATTCTAATTACCAAGGGGAAGTCAGACCACCACTAAGCAATGGGGGTGAGGAGCATGCACTCCATGTTTGGTGATTAATGTCAGTGACAAACAACATAATAGCATAGGACTAATAAAGGTCTAGGCCATTCAGGAATAAGGATTTGGCTCACCTCACCCAGGTAAGAGGCTGTGACCGCTGAGGTTCTTACTGAGGCAAAGGAAATATAGAATGAAGAGTGGAAGAAGGTAATTGCAAATATCAGTCAACAAACACATAACTGGTTTTAGGAATGTGATGGCCATAGTATTTGCCTTTTTCATGGCTGCGAAGGCTTTCTCCTATGTTTTCTTCTAAAAGCTTTATCTTTCTAGCTTTAGGTTTAGATGTAAGGCTCATTCACAGTTAGATTTTCTGTGATTTTTGGGAAAGGTCAGTGTTTCTTTCATATGAGCATTCATTTGTCCTAGCACACTCTGCTGAAGACTTTCCTTTCCCCATTGAATTACTTTATCACACATCAGCTGAGCCTAAATGAGCAGCACAATGCTTACTCGCTTTGGAATTGAATGTTCTCAAGATAGCATGCCTGTTACCGACCTCCTTTCCTTAGACAGCCTGTAAGACAGACAAAGCCAAGATGTGAGCAAGGGGTCCCATGCCTGAGGGATCAATGCCTAAGGGATCCCATGCCTGAGGGATCCCATGCCTGAGGGATCAATGCCTAAGGGGTCCCATGCCTGAGGGATCCCATGCCTAAGGCATCCCATGCTTAAGGGATCAATGCCTAAGGGATCCCGTACCTAACCTTTGCTTTTGTACTTGACACACTGCATCGTGCTCCCTCCCTTAGGGCGTGCTTGCCTAATTTTCCTGCAGACCCTTAAACAACACGATGTTGTGTGTGTTTGTGATGGGAAAGGCAAGAGGATTTATGGATGCCGTCTTGGTCGCCTGCTGTCGTGTGAGAGTCATGGACATCTGCTTCTGTTTGTCTGTACCACCCTGATTTGGCCAGTTTATAACCTGAGGGTCTAGCGAATGGCAATCATATCTACAAATGCCATTTTGATTTGTAAAGCATGTAGCTCAATGGCCTGACAGGCACTGAACCAATAGCATTTAAGGTTATAGCAAATTCTCTCTGCCAGTTTCCTCACCTGTAGAGTGGCCTGAGGATCATCCCAGGTTGGTTCTAGTCCATATGGAGCCACAGACTGTTCATGGAGGGAAAGGCCATCGGCTTGTTGCCAGGGAACTGGAAATAACACTTCAACCAGGCCGCTTTGGGTCTCTGAGACCATCAGCCTGTGACTGCCTTGTCTGTGTTCATAACAGTTTTTCACATCAGTATTGGTCTGAATGTCCTTTATCTCAACTGAAATGGAAAGGAGGTGTTTCCTAACCATCTACAATCTGTGCCTTGTAGACCTGGATTTCTCTAAGCCCCGCCTCTCACTGGCCCCACCCTGTGTGCCTGCTCCCTCATCACCTGTGGACAGGTGAATCCCAAAGCACAGTGAGGGCAACCTTGACTGGGAAGCAAGGGGAAGAGATGTCACCTGACGTGGAGACGAAGGGTCCGTGAATGCTGCTGCCTGACAGTTGGGTGTAGTGGCCTCGTGTTGCCATGGTGATGGAGGCGCACCGATGCTAAGTGTATGAGCAGCCCCCATGCTTTTTAATAACAGCTGGTCAGTGCCACTGCTGTCCCCTGCCGAGTGGCTGCTTGGCCCCAGCTGTCCTGCTCTCTGTTGACAAATGGTTGTCCTTCACAGTCAAAGTACCAACAGTGCTCTAATTAATGAATGTGCTAATTATCCTTTCCTACTCCCAGCACATTTGTCTAACTAGCCTGTCACACACAGACAAGTGCAGCATATGCATGAGAACTGGGGGCCACGGAGAGCGCTGGGCAGGAGAGGGGTGGGCTCGCGGGCTCAGAGCTCTGGGATGGTTCTTGTGAAGCCACATTTAACGGGCAGGAGTCTCTGGGATATGTGACCGCCTGTGAAGTGTGTATGTTTCCTTCTTTGCTTTACTTTCCTTTTTTTTTAATCACTCTTTGGGGCCAAGGAGCCACTGCTTCATTAGCCAGCCTGTGACGGGGTTGCCAAGTACAAGTGCAGAAGGACTGGGCAGACTCCGGCTCTGCAGATGGCTCCAGAGCAGCGCTCAGGGTGGTTTGAACCCCAGACCCTGAAGCTAGACAGGCCTGGGTTTGGATCCTTGTTCCCCTCCTTACTGGGTACGCGAGTCCCTGACTGTTGTTTAAGACTTCTGAACCTCAGTTTCTCCATTTGGGCAGTGGGGGAGGGGTGATAACTTAGCCCCTAGACTCCAGGGTTGCACTGAGGAGGCAAGGGTGGCGCTCTCGGGACAGTGCCCCTTTCAAGCCAGGGCCCCAGGACACAGGTGCCCAGGGCCTCTGGATGCTGGACTGCTCTGGGCTGTTTCCGGCCCCGCCCAGAGCGGGCGGTGGGCTGCAGGCCCTGCTGGGCCTGGATCCCAGCGAGGGAACAGCGCCCCTCCCCCGCACCCCTCCCCCTTTCCTTTTCACTCTGTCTCAGCAGCTCTCTATTGAGATGAATGGCATTTCTAGAGGCTTCACCTCTGGTAAGTGTTCCTCTGCGGCCGCAGGCAGAATCTTAATGTGTGCACTGTAATTTAACGGACATCTTGGCTGACTGTTAACAGCTCTTCCTGGGTGAAGGGGCCACGCTCCACCGGCCAGGCCTCTATGGGGATCACTGCCCTGTGAGTGGCTCCGGGGAGCTCAGAGCGGGGCCTGAGCCTCCCGCCAGGTGCCTTCGGGGCCTTCTAAGGTACAAGTGGCTGGACACTTACCCTGCCTTGCTTACGGGGCTTGGAAATGCTTGGGACACAGGCAAGAGAGGCTGCCCCCAGTGGATGGCTGCGGTGCCTGGTGCTGGTTAGATTTCAGGGCCGTCCTGGGCCCCCCAGTCTGGATCCTGCACATGCTGTGTTCTGTGTGCTGCAGGTCATGCACAAAATTTGTACCCCACAAATACAAAAGCTTGAGTAGGAAGGAAATGGGGATAATCTATAAAGACACCAAGGCGTAAGAGAGAGAAAATTCTTCAAAAACCGGACATTTTAGCCTAGGATTGTACATAGTGGGCAGTCACAGCATCGTAGTACTCCCGCTTACCCGTCTTTGGGAGACTCCCTGTCAACCCTGTGATGCTGTGGCAGTCACCAGCGTCTTCCATCTTCCTGCCCTCTGACTCAGTTCCCCAGGCTTGGACACCTGGCCAGCCTGTGCCCGCAGGGCCGCCCTGAGAGTTTAGGTGAGAGAAGGCCACTCTGGACAGGGGACAGGAGCTGTGAGAGTCCTAGGTGGACGTATTTTCCACCTTGGGGAGAATGCTTGTCTGAGAGAGAGGAAGTCTGACATGCTAAGAGAAGCAACCCTGGAGTCTAGGGGCTAAGAGTCCAGAGGCTGAGAGGGAGACAGAGAGAGAAGGGTGGTGAGGGAGTGCTCCATTCACAATGACTCCATTAGAGGGAGGGAGAGGGAGAAGGAGAGGGAGAGAGAGAGAGAGAGAAATCCACTATCTCCAAGCCCATCCATCTCTGCCCATTTCCACTTTTGGTTACTCAGTTCTTTGAGTTCTTTGAGCCAGTACATTTCCCTTTTGCCTGAGCTAAACCTAAGTTTTATTGCCTTCAACTGGATGACTTTTTATGGGGATTGACCTTCATTTCTGACCCATTACCACTAAGATATGGCAACTATTAGAAGATATTAATTATTAGAAGGTATTAAACTCTTCATGAGAGTTCAGACTTCTTCGCTATCAAAACCTAAATATCCTCTGAAAATTAAAAAAAAATTGTACCTACAAATGAGATCTCACTCAGGTCAACACACTAATCTTGCTGGAGCATAGTCCCTCTCCAATCCTGTAATAGCTATGGGATGGTTATTTTTTTGTGTCAACTTGACCGCGCTAGAAAATGCCCAGAGGGGCTGGGATGTGTGTGTGTGTGTGTGTGTGTGTGTGTGGCTGCTTCTAGAAGAGATCAGGATATGGATCAGTGGACCGGGTCAGGAGAACCCTCCCCACCCGTGTGAGCCGACATTCTTGAATCCACTGAAACTCAATAGAACAAACGGGAAGGAAGGGCAAGTGTTCTCCTCTCTGTGAATGACTTGAGACACCTGTCTCTTCCTGGCCCTGGACCTCGGAGCCTGGATTCTCCAGCTTTCACACCCAGACAGCCTTGTACCACCGGCCTCCCTGATAATCAGGCCCGTGGACTCAGACTGGTCTACACTGCCAGCCTTCCTTCCTGCCTCTCCGGCTCACAGATGGTAGATTGTGGCACTTCCTGCTCTCCACAACTGTGTGAACCACTTCCCACGATAAATCTCCTTTTGATGTATCTCCATATCAGCTCCATTTCTTTGTAGACTTCCACCTGTGCAAAGTGCACCAGACACTCAGTGCCCAGGAGCAGCATGACCGGCCTGACCTGCCCTGGCTGCTGGCCTCAGCAGTCCAAGCTCTACATGCCATCCCCCCTCCTCCTTCTAAGTTGAGCCCAAGATGCCCATGCTGGCCCCTGCTGCTCTGGGATGAGGCTGTGGTCCCTTCCCCCACACTGACCTCTCTTGGGGTCAGATGCTGCCCCAGCTGCCTCTAATTACAGTGGCCAATGTTTTCCTTTGCAGTGGGATTTTGATAAAAGTGCCTCTTAATCAACTATGCCAAAGAGCTGAGTCTGGGACAAAGGTGGCAGGAATCTCGCACTTTCTGCAGCGCCCAAGGGGTTGCTGTCAACACAGAGAGAGGCCTCCTATATGATGTGTGGCTTCCACCCAGCCCACCCCCAAGCCCACTCTTGCACTCTCACAGACGCTGGTGCCTCTCCACTCTCACTGTCAATGAGAAGAATTCCAGGGTAGGCATTTCCATAATTGCTCTGAAAAGCCAGTGTTGGACGGTCTTGTTTGGAAGTTCTCCTTCAAGGTAATTGTAACTCCATTTCTGCCCCTTATGGAATTCTTTGGTTTTGGTTTTAGTATTTTGATCTAGTTCTTGTATTCTTTTCATTTCTTTTATGCTGCAGAAAAGAAGACATCGTCTGCTCTCTACTCATCGTCATTCATTTATTCACTCATTCATTTGTTCATTTATGTCTTATGTGGCTGGTATCCCATGGTGTGTTAAGTGCTCATTTTTTTCCTAGGAATTCAAGATAGAAAGGACAGGGTTCAGCATACCTCTTTCTGGTGCTCTATAAAAAGTTTCATTTTCCCCCTTTTTTAAGGTTTATTTTATTTATTCAAAAGACAGAGTTACAGAGCGAGGCGGAGAGAAAGAGAGAGAGAGAGAGAGAGAGAGATCCTCCATCCGCTGATTTACTCCCCAAATGGCCACAACGACCAGAGCTAAGCTGATCCAAAGCTAAGAGCCAGGAGCTTCTTCCAGGTCTCCCACATGGTGCAGGGGCCCAAGGACTTGGGCCATCTTCTGCTGCTTTCCCAAGTGCATCAGCAGGGAGCTGGATAGGAAGTGGAGCAGCCTGGACTCGAACTGGTGCGCATATGGGATGTTGGTGCTGTAGGCTGGGACTTTAATCCACTGCACCACAGCACCAGTCCCTCCTTTGTTTCTTTGCTGTGATCAGAGATCCCTGCATCTCCCAGAGTCTGGGGTCCTCAGGGGGCTCAGGTTGCTCAGGGTCTTGGGTCTGAGATTCATTCCGGAGGCTGTGAGGGAGGCACCCCCTGGCATTAGTGCTGGCCCCTCAGTTCCTCCCCCCAGCACCCTGTTTCCCCTGGCAGGTTCCGCACAGCCACAGCCTGGGCGCTCTGGCTGATTTCAGAGAATAGGAAGGAGGGGAGGAAGAGGAAAGAGGAGGAGGCAGCTGTGTAACCGTGCCGGGGCCTTTGGAAACTCTGGTGGTGAAAGACGGAGTGCAAGCCCTCACTTCCCCTTCCTGCACTGCGCAGGCTGCCGAGCCGGGGCCACAGCAGTCCTCCCTCGGGCACCTGCAGCAAGCATGGATCAAGAAGCCGTGGGCAATGTCGTCCTGCTGGCCATCGTCACCCTCATCAGCGTGGTCCAAAATGGTAAGGGGATGAATACCTCCTCCCTCCGGGGAGATTTTGTCTGATGGTTGTTCCTGAGTCAGCCTTAGACAGGTGTGTGTGTGTGTGTGTGTGTGTGTGTGTGTCTTTTCTCTATGGCTTCCTTTCTATTTAAATGTATAGTGGGCTACTGTAATACTTTTTTTTGTAATACTTTTTTTCTCTAGCAATGTATCATTTTTGAAGCATTTTTTTCATATGCATTATGTACTTAGAGAGAGAGAAACTTTTCTCTTTGGGGTTTGCATCTCCATTAACCCTATTATCAATTAAGAAACCAAGCAGGGTACCCAGATCTGTACCCTTGCAGAAAGACCTTGTAGGATGGTCTTGAACTGCTCCCTAAATTTGGACTTAAGACTGTCTTCACAAGTATTTCCGGCGGTGCTGTGTTACAGTTTATTTAAGATAAGAGGAGAGTAATTCCTATGGGTGGCTGTGGCGGCTCAGTGGCAATAACTTAACAGGGATGCATGGTCACATGTTTGCATGCAGAGCACCTTTGGGGTGTCCTGATCTCGGGCCCCATCTTGAGCACAGACAGATACTGAAGATTTTGCCTTCTGGGCTCAGGGAGAGGCACCCGTGGGCCTCGCACACCACAGGGGCATAACTCTGCATTCCCTAAGTAATGTCCTGGATGGAGCAACACTGGGCAGCTACCTGGCCCACACATTTCCATAGGAAATCACTCAACACTGAGTTCTAGCTCCAAGGGAACAGGGCCTTCTCTGGGCTGCTCGCTCCTCAAGCCATTGCTGTCCCGTACAGACCTTCCGTGTGCACCTGCAGAGACCCTGCTGTGTGCCAGGCCTTGTGCTGGACACATGGAGGCACATCAGTGGAAAACATAGCTCCGTTCCTGCCTTTGGGGACAGGAAGGGACAGGTAGAAGCCAGCAGCCACCCCTTCAGCCTCTGTGAAGGTAGCTGCATGGGAGGGTGGCTGGGCAGTGCTTTCGTAGCTCTGGGTGAGGTCCCTGTCCCCTCTACTCATCCATGTGACTGGCGGACATCAGAGGACCGGGGACCCCATGCCCTGCCTCCTGCTTCTGCGGCTGGGGCTGGGCTCAGCTGGGAAGTTTGAGTTCACTCTTACCCGCCTCTTCTCAACTCAGAGTGAAGTTGTGGGCTTACAGGGCTCCCCATGGTGGGAACGGCGTCTTCACCTCTCTCGCTGAAGACGTCTCAGGGACCTGCCCTGTCCTGGTGAGCCCTGGGCTTCCCCACCATGGCTTAGCAAACGCGGAGCACACTGGCAGTGAACTGTGAAATTGGTGATCATTTTTGTAATTTGGGATCAATGCTTTTTCAGTGGCACAAACGAGGGAGGGAGGTGGGATTGTTGGTGGGAAGATGTCTGGGCCCTCACAGCCAGTCTCAAGACCTTGACTTTCTAGACAGACCAGGACAGCGGCCAGGATGAAGGATTCCTGGCCGGGGAGATACAAGCCCGGAGCAGCAAGGCGCGACCCTGTGGGGCTGGGCAGATGGATGGCTGCGGTGTGAGCTGGAGTTGGCAGCGTGGCCCACACATCACTGCCCCTGTCTTCCCAGCTCCTGGGAGCCAGCCTGGGCAGTGGGTGGCCAGAGTGGCTGTCCCTCCGGAGTTCTGGGAAGCCACGGAGGGCCCCTTGCCCACCTGACAGTAGTTTAGACTAAGCCACTTCTGGGGAGAGACCTGAACCTCCAGGGGATACCAAGCTTATCTGTGAGGACTTTCTGTAACTGTTAAACGTGCCTGTGCAGAACAACAAGAAAATTCAAATAACTGGGGAGGTAACACCTTGACTGGTTGCTAGCTGTGAATTTTTAGGATCACAAGCAAGTCCCGGCCCCTCTTTGTAATTCTAATTCACCTCAACAGTTGCAACCACAGACCTACCTTACAGGGTTCCAAAAAATATGCAAACACTCTTCTTTCCTCCCCCTCCACTCAAGATGCCCTGGGAGTGGTAAACAACATTTCCCTGTGGTTACCAGGCACCGCCCACACTCTCCCAAGCCACAAGGGTCCATGGCAGTGTCAGGTTCTGTGCTGTCTGGACACTCTGCGGGTCTGATCTTTCTGATGGGCAGAGCCCTGCCCGCTTGGTGCAACTTCCTCCTCTGCCTTCCAGATGTCCTTTAGTCATCAAGATCTTTGAAACCAGTGGCACTCTTCCAGTTTGAACCAGCAGAATGCAGGCTTGGCAGAACACAACACGTCCCAAATACGCTATGCTGGGCCAGAACTAGCGCAGCTTGGTTTCCAGGGGGTTGTGACAGGTGCACCTCCCGTGAATAATGTGCAGGGAGCTCCACCTTCTCCTGCCAGGGGCCGGCAGCTCTGCCCTGTAGGAAACCTGGGAGATGCATGTGCGTGGTCTCCCCTCTTGTGACGGTCTGATCGGTGATTTTTTTTTTTTTTGACCTTACGATGATGTGAAAGTGCACGCAGCTGACTGTTGTGGCTTTCACCTTCAGGACTGTGTTCAGTAAATTACAAGAGCTGGTCCACACTTCGCTGTAAACATGGGCTTTGCGTTGGATAAGTTGGCAGTATTCTGAGCATGTGTGAGGAAGACAGGGCTAAGTGAGGACGTTTGGGGGTTAGTATGATGAATACAATATTTTCAACTTATGATGGACTTACTGTTATAACCCCATCGTAAGTTGAGGAGCACTTGTATTTGGGTAAAGCGTTCTTCATGGGAAACCAAACTCATGACCTCAGGAGGAGAAGGTGAGTGGGGGAGGGGCCGAGGGGCACTGGACTGCGTGTGGTGGCACAGGAAGGACCCCTCAGGCAGACACTGTTTGTTCTCAGCCGTTCCAGTTGCGGGGGAAGGAGGGTGTCAGGAGCTAACATCGCCCTCTGTCCTCCTGGAGAGGCGGCCTTCTCCACGTTGGTTCTTACAGCGAGGCCAACAAGGGAGATGCAGTGGCCCTGTGGTTGAAAGGGTTTGGGAGCCTTGTGCTACAGGGAGCAATGGAGCCTCCGACTCTGCTGTTCCCACCCCAGCACGTGGGGGCACCCCATCGGAAGACCTGGCAACCCGCCCCGGGGTTTGACGGGCTCTAGAAGCAGAACTGTAGACTCAGGCTGCTCCCTGCACAAGGCCTCTTCTTCAGCTCGACAGTCCGGTGTGTGTGTGGGGGGGGTCTTACAGCCCTGAATCGCCCTTTTCATTGTTAGATGCGTGGAGAGCGTGCTATGCATAGGATTATCTCATTGCATTGTGCACCCCATCAGATATTTGCTATCATTTATTCCTTTCTTACCGGGAAGCAAAAGGAGGCCAGAGAGGTGAAACTGTTGGCTCAAAGTTTCAGAGCCAGTGGCAGTGAGCCATAGTTCCAAACCTAAACATCTGGCCCTAGAAAGTAGGCGTGTCTACCGCCTCCACTTCATTCATTCACACGCTCGCTCCTCAGGGAGTCCTCTCTTCCATGGAGCTGAAATCCACTGCCTGTACCTCCATCCAGTGGCCCTGGAACTGTTCTCTGGGAAAGCTTAGACTAAGCTGTGCCTTCTGCTTCTGTGTGTGCAGCGTCATCTGTTACGTCCCTTCTTCAACATAGCCTTTCTCATGTGACTCAGTTTCCTTGGCGTTGAGTCACTTCTCCTCTGCTTGTGTTCTTTCTGAAATGTAGACAGGTGTTCCTGAGACCCAGATGCCAAGTCTAGTAAAATCATTTGTCTATCAGTTATCCTTCTGAGGATTTGTATCACACTGCTGACTCATCTTACTTAGCAGTTAACTAAAACTTCAAGATATATTTTTTAAAGATTTATTTATTTATTTGAAAGTCAGAATTACAGAGAGAGAGAGAGAGAGAGAGAGAGAGAGAGGAGAGACAGAGAAAGGTCTTCCATCTGCTGATCCACTACCCAAATGGCCACAACAGCCAGGCTGGGCAGGGCCAAAGCCAGGAGCCAAGAGCTGCTGCTTTGTCTCCCACGCAGGTGCAGGGGTCCAAGCACTTGGGCCATCTTCCACTGCTTTCCCAGGCCTAGCAGAGAGCTGGATTGGAAGTGGAGCATCCAGGACTTGAACCGGTGCCCATATGGGATGCAGGCAGAGAATTAACCTGCTGTGCCACGGCATCAGCCCCTCAAGATTTTACATGATCTTGAGAAAGTTGTTTAACTTCTCTGATTCACAGTTTCCTTAACAGAGAAGTGGAGTTATTAATAGCTTGCATTCGTGGATGTGGAAGGCATTGCGTGAGATCACATAAGCGAAGCAACTGGCAGCACCCAGCGGGCGGCAGACGCTCAGTAACTGTTTGCTGCCTTTTCTCTGTGTGTGTCTCTGTCTTGTGCTGGTTTGGGCCAAGATCAGTGTGTTAATGGTCTTTGCATGCGTGGTTTCTGTGAGGTACTGGAGGAACACAGGGGTTGGGAGAGAGAGGATGGTGGGGAGGAAGCAAAGGTAACTCACTTTGGCATTTTTAGCTTAGAGACAAGGAAAGCTGGAATCCGAGGCAATACTGGTCTGAGACAGGCTTGGTCTGCTTTTGTTCTTGGGGCAGGAAATAAACACAGGAAAGACTGAAGAAGGAAAAGACTTGAAGACGGTGGCAGAGCTGGGGTCGAGACCACGGGTGGCGCGCTTAGGCTTGGGAAAGAGGAAGGGGTTGGTTTCTCTGAGCATCGTGGGAAGAAGTTGCAGCCGGTGCAGAGAAGAGCAGGCCCGGTGTGCAGCTGGGTGAGGTAATAACCTCTGACTTTCGTAATCCTGGCCCTGCTGCCGTGTTCAGGGGCCGGGGACGCCGTCTTGGCTTCTGGAAAGAAAACTACCAGAGTTTGCGATTGTGGCTCCGTGGTTAGCAGAGACATTCCGACGAGACAGGTGGACTAAACGCTGGGGAGCTCATGGAATCCTGCAGGGAATAAAATGGCAGAGACTTCCTCATCGGGCCAGCTCGAGGTGAACTCCCAGCCGCACGGCTCCCATGGCTGGGATGACTCTGAGAAAGGCGCCTCACCTCCCTGAGCCATGGGCTCCTCATTTACAGGGTGGGCACACGGCCACCCACTCCATGGAGCTGGCGCAAAGCTCCGCCAGGAAATATAGAAGGGTTCTCAGAAAAGTTCCTGACGATGCATATGAGGAAAAAAAGCTACGCATGGCTCTCTGAATTGTTTGGGGTCAAAAGCAGCTTGTCTTTTCGTTCTGTTTTGTGATGAACTTTTTGAACTGTGCTTGTAGGTCAGATACACACTGGAATGTCTGCGACATGGTGGGTCGCTTCAGACAGGCCAGCCCCGTGCATTCGCTGACCACGGGCACATTCCTGCAGATGCGGTGTGTTTTTGCCAAGAAGAAAATTCCCGAAAGCCTTTTCTCCGTGTACACCACTGATAAGGCCGCCTGCTCATGTCTTTGTGAGGGGGCCGATGTGTAGTGAGTGAAAAGGACCCTGTGGGTGGATCCCTGACGATCACCCCCACCCCTCACTCTTGAAATAGGAGTCAAGGAATAACATAGGAGGGAGGAGAGAGGCCTTCGTCCCCCACCACCCAATCAAAGCCTCGGGAGTCTGTCTCCTCGGCGTCTCTCACAGGCCCACAGCCATCACCTAACCAGCCCCATCTCATCTCCACATTCTGGGTCTGGCTGCTCCGCCACTCCAAAGACAGAGTGGCTTTCTGATTCTGCTCTTCCTTAGCTCAAGGCTCTCTGTAGCTCCTGGTTGCTCTCAACTGGGACTAAAGTCTGAATCTCTTTACCCAGTTCCCAGCAAGGTCACAGGCAAACTCCACGGGCCCTTCTCAGGCATCATCTTCTTCCAGGCAGGGTCCATGGTTGCTTTCTCACCGAGGCTCCCTCCATCCTCTGGACCGAGCACTTCAAACGACCCCTCACCCCATTCTACTTTCCCTTCCCTTCGCTGCACCGCTCAACACACGCTGTCACTGTAGCTGCCGTCTCCTCCTCCACTGTCCTTGGCAGAACAGAAGCTCCCGGGGCCAAGGCTCTTTGTCTGTTTCGTTCTCAGACACAAGTGAAATGTCTGGTGCCCAGTGAGTGACAACAGATGTATATCACAGAAAGAATCATTCTCCAGCGGCCTCAGCTGTGGTTCTACCAGGCCTCACTCCCCAGCCTCAGCCTCGGCTTTCTCCCCTTCTAAGCTGCTCATACCGCTGAACATAGACAGCGCTTGCCGCTCATACCGAACATAGTGCGAGAGGGAGACAGAGAGAAAGGTCTTTTTTTAAATCTTAAAAAAAATTTTTTTTGACAGGCAGAGTGGACAGTGAGAGAGAGAGACAGAGAGAAAGGTCTTCCTTTTTGCTGTTGGTTTACCCTCCAATGGCCGCCGCGGCCAGTGCGCTGCAGCCTGCGCACCGCGCTGATCCGATGGCAGGAGCCAGGTACTTATCCTGGTCTCCCATGGGGTGCAGGGCCCAAGGACTTGGGCCATCCTCCACTGCACTCCCGGGCCACAGTAGAGAGCTGGCCTGGAAGAGGAGCAACTGGAACTAGAACCCAGCACCCATATGGGACGCCGGTGCCGCAGGTGGAGGATTAGCCAAGTGAGCCACGGCACCGGCCCCCTGCAGCTCAAGCCTCTTAACCTTGGCCTATCCCATTGCACTTGAGCAAGGTGATCCCCGCTGGTACCCCCTGCTCCCCCATATAATTCCTACGTGTTCTTCAGGCTTTATCTGAGGCATAATTTCCTCTAGGGATTCTTCTGTTGACTCAAACGTGGAATTCAGCTGCCTCCCGCGAGCCTTGGTAATACCAGGGATGCACTTGATCTCATTCTGGCACGAATCCCTCTACGGTGTCATTCCTCCTTTATCCTGTGTCCCTTTCTTGGGAGTGTAAAGTCCTTGAAAGTGAAGGCTGTGACTTGCTCACGACTGCGTTCCCAGTGCTGCACAGTGATTAGCAGGCGGCAGCTGCTGAATACATTGCTGCTAAGTGACATCTAATGGAGGACATTTAGGGCTGTTTGGAGGTCAAGGAAGGTAGCATTTAATGGTCTTGTAAGGCAATGAAACAACACTATTTAAAAGGCAGAAAGAGAGAGAGAGAATCTCCCACCTCTCGGCTCACTCCCCATATGGTAAGAGCCTGAAATTCCATCTGGGTCTCCCACATGGGTGGCAGGGTGCAAGTGTTTGGGTGATCCTCCACTGCTTTCCCAGGCACATTAGCAGGGAGCTGATTTGGAAGAGGAGCAGCCGGGACTTGAACTGGCACTCCTATGGGATACCAGTGTCGCAGACGGTGACTTAACCCACTGTACCACAACACCTGCCCCATTCGTGCCCGTCTAACCAAATCCAAACCTTCTTCTCTGGCAGGATTCTTTGCCCACAAGGTGGAGCATGAAAGCAGGAACCAGAATGGGCGGAGCTTCCAGAGGACAGGGACCCTTGCCTTTGAGCGAGTCTACACTGCCAAGTGAGTCCAAACCCTGGGTAGGGGCACGGGCGTGGGTGTGGGTTGAACTTCACCTATGAGATTTTGTGGACATACTTCATTGTCTCAGTGTATTTCTGATGTTAAAAGAAAGGAAGTAGGGATATTGGAGGTGGGGGAGGTGATTTCTGCAACTCCAGAAATGCCTGCGTGAGTCACTTTGCCAGGGGTTGACCAGTTCCCTGCAGGGTTAGTGCAGAGGCCCTGCCATGAAATCACTCATCACTTTGGCTCAGACGCAACAGGCAGGACACAGCAGCAGTCCTCAGCTCCCCTGCCCCTTGCTTTCCTGGAAATCTGGGGGTGATGTCAGCACATTTCACAACCAGGTCTCCTTGAGCCACCAGGACAAGAACAAAGAGGACAGAGCATGGTGCAATGGCCTTTCCCTCTCTCAACCTTTCCTTTTGAATAAAAAGCACTGTTAGAAAACACCTGACCAGCTCTGGGAGGGTGAGTGCAATCTATTTGGGATGCAAATTTGAATGAGTCTTATTCAAACACTTGCTTTTCTTTTATGCAGAATGAATTTAAATAGAGATTTGGCAGGAGCACCTGGGCCTGCTGCTCTTGTCCTCCCCCTCCCGCCCCCCCAAGACTGGAGCCAGTCACCAAGGAAGGGCCAACCAAGGGGCCATCAGCTCCCTCCCAGAGGTGACTCTGATGACCAGAGAGATCCTTCCAAATTGGGAGCCAGGGCCAAATCAAAGGAAGCACATTTATTTTGCATCATAGGAACAGTATAGGCAAGCTCATGGACTAGAGTTCAAAGGCTCTGGCCCTGAGGCTCTGTGGGAGGACCTGGGAGGAAGGGAGTGTCTCCACAGGGACACCTCTATCTTGTCCTTTGGAAAGCTGGCTTTTGATAGGAAGGCCTACATGTCACTCAACTTCAGCCCTGTGCCTCATCAGAGTACTTTGCGTTTTCTCAGTGAGGCATAGGCATGGTGGGTTGGCAGGGGACTTCTGGCAAGTGTTCATCATAGGCCCCTTTTCTCCCCCGGCTTCCCAGTTGCCCTGCCAACACTTTCTGGACCACTTGTGGACATGCTGGTGGGTCATCACAGGCTGATGTCCTGGCTCCTCTTCCTCTGTGGGCCCTTGGCTTCTCCAGGCTGTGTTCAAGCTCTGCCTGTGTGCAGTGCACCCCAGAGCCCTCACCCCACATTCTGCCCACCTGCTCTGGGCCCCTCCCTCGCACCAAGCTCTCCTGCCCTGAGTCATTCCAGCAGCCTGAGCGGAAGGGAATCCTTGGCTGCACTCCCTACAGGGAGATTTCCACGGGAACATCTGGGCCATGGGCATATTAGTGCTCAGCATCCATTGGAGAAAGTTAAAGATGTGGTTTCAGACACGCTAGGCCCGTTTGACGAGCACAGGGGAAACAGGCCATCGCATCTGCACCATTTGCAAGGGGAGCAGCAAGAGCACTCTGCTGACAGGTCCTGGGAACAGCAGGTACAAGAGCGTGCCTTTGATCAGGGGCAAGGTCAATGTCTCCAGAAAGCATAACCGAGCCTCAGCCCATGGCAAAGAGCAGAGCCCCCGCCCCAGAAGATGGCGTTCTCCCCAGCTCCCTGGCATTCTCCTGGACCCCTTGGCTCTCCCATTTTGAAGTGACAGTGGAATTTCACTGTCCCGGGGTAGAGGTTGACTTTCTACTTTGCAGGCGACGAAGAAGAAATGGAGCAGACGGGGGCCGTTCTGTTCCTGCCACTTCCCCTGAGGCGCGAACTAGCTGTGGCTAAGAAGCCATCGTGTTTACACCTGGCCTCGCCAGCTGCCAGCCTCCAAATTGCAGAAGTGCCCTTTGGTTGGGGGTTGTGCCGTGCGTCTTGGTGGGGGCTGGGAAGTTCTGTAATCAGGCCGGGGTCTCAGAGGTAAGGAGGCCAGAGAGCAGAGGGCTGGGGCACTGCTGCTGCTCAGGGCTCCCCACTGTAGCCCAGGCCTCAGAGACCCTGTGTCTGCCCCACTTAGCCTCTGTGGGAGGGAGGGGAAGGAGGAAGAGGAGGAGGACAGAATGGCAGGGAGAGATAGGAAGTAAGGTGGTGGCTGCGGAGAGAACTTTCTGTAAGATAAAGGTTGCTCAGACTCCGCTGTGGTTCCCTTACAAACACCACTTCCTCCCTAGCCCAGCAATGCTATGCAGGAGCCTGCAGGATTGTAAAAGGGGGCCAAAGACCGGCACAGCAGGCAGCTGTCTATGTATGGCAGAAGCCAAGGCACAGAGTCTCCAGGAAACCTCTGGGAAGCAGGTTTTGTGGCTTCTCTGGGGGCCTCCAGAGGCAGACAGAGGGTGCAAGATGATCTATAGGGGTGCAGGAAGACACGAACCGTATTTAATCTTCCTATCCAAAAAGTAAGGAATGAAGGCTTACTCACTTTTCATATACAGAGAGTAACACATGTGGTGTATATAATTCATACATAATATACCTGTCATAAGGTTGCATAATCAAAAGTTTTGGTTGACAGGGTGTGGGATCATAAATGTTTAGAGACCGTGGATATAGAGGGAAAAACAGTGTAAAGGATGAGTGATACTGGGGGATGCATATTTCTCAGCATAAAATACGACTGGTGGCTGACAAAGATGGCTTGAGAATCTGGGGTAGTTGATTAACAGATAGCTCCGCCAGTGTGGTCTGTCAGCTCAGACGTGGCCTTGACTGATGAGTCTTTCCATCACTTGTCTCCCGCCAGGACAGAGCTGAGTCAGGTGTGAGAGCTAAGGGGAGCTGACCTTGACTCTCTGTTCAGTTGTATAAAATGTAGCTTGATGCCCTGTTTCCAGCTGATGCACACAGCTGGAATGGTCTTGGCAGAAGTCTGGTTCCGGGAGAAAAATCCTGGTTAGCTGACCTAAGACTCTTCCCCATGCGTGCAGGAGAGCATGGGTTGCAGAGAGGAGGTGGTCTCTGGAGATGTGTGATTTCCTTAAATGTGTGCCAAGGAGCCCAGGTTCATGGGTTACTGACAGGTGTTACCGGGAAGAGCAGGTTCTTTATGGCCAGACTTTTTGAGAATCTTTAATGCACTAAGGGGCCCTTTGATTCTTGGTTCTCCAAGAGAAGAAGGGCTTACTAACCCCAGACCCTCCCCCTTGGTTGCCCCTCCCCCTTTTTTGCAGAACATATTAACAGTTTAGTGTTTCACAAAACACATTATGGGAACTGCCGCCAGTGCCACTGCTCCCCTGCCTCTCTTGGCATCCATCGAAGGTTCAGATTTAAGCGGCGTAGACTTGCAAAATTATTTGAAGGCGGCAGGTCTACAGTGATCCTATTGATTAGTGTCAATATTGTTGTTAACAGTATTTCCTCACTTCACATTGATTCAAACCAATTAATGGAACATCAAAGTGTTAAGTGGAGAAAAACGAAAGGGCAAAGAGTGAGTCATTTTCTCCATGAACACATCAATCGTGTGGCGCAGCAGCCTAAAGTGCTGCAATATCTGCTACGCAGCTCCTATGCGAGCTCCTTAAAAAATGGGAGTCAAATGGGTTTGTCAGTTCTGTTTCACAGAAGAAAATGACACGGGGTGAGTGTTTGGCACAGTGGTTCAGACACCACTTTGGATGTCCGCATCCCGTGTTGGCGTGCCTGTGTTCAAGCCCTGGTTATTTCCAGTCCTGACTCCCAGCTGACGCGCGCTCTGGGAGGCAGTTGAGATGGCTGGAGGACTTGGGTCCCTGCCACTCCCAGAGGGGATCCAGAGTGAGTTTTGGGCTCTTGACTTTAGCTTGGTCCAAATGTGAGCATTTGGGGAGTGCAGTAGTAGTAGGCGGAAGATTTTCTCTCTCTCTGTCTCTTTGCCTTTCGAATAAATAAAAAAAATTCAAAAATGAAACAACGAAAACTAGAAAATAGCACAGAGCTAAATCCTTAATAATAGTGCATTTGTAGGAAGGACCTTCTCTCTAGGGGCTAAAAAGAAAGACATTGGAGCACTAAGAGCCACCATTCAGTGAGTGCTTTCTGTGAGCCATGTGGTGCTTCCTCAACATTTATTCTCAGGGAGGAAATTGCTGATGTCCCCCTCTCCTCTTCCAGATGAGCGCAGTGAAGCTCCACGGGGCTGGGAAGCACCCACAACCACACACCAGTGAGTGGCAGCCCTGGTGTTGCACAGAGGTTGCATGATGGTTAAACACCACAGCGAGCAGCCGTGAGGCCCCACGGCAAGAGGCTGCCATGTCGCTGGTGGGAGGGAACAGCACCCTCTCTCGGAGGGGCTTCTGTGCATGGATTTTTGAGTGGAAGCTGCACTGGAAGTTCTGGATAGGGAAAGGGACCACCTGAGCCAGAGCAAGGGACAGGGCTTTTGAGAATATTCAGGAAACCCATTCTCCCTGAATCCAGAGCCTGTTTTCTACAGATGGGAGAGTTTAATTCAACTGAAGATGGACCATGTTTTGGCTGGAAATAACAAGCCAGAATGATGGAAGGAATGACCCAATGTCAAATCACTGGATGGTTTTCTCCCAGGAGCAAATCCCTTGGACAACTAAGGATGTTTCTCCTTTTTGTATCACCCAGTCAGAATCACTCCTTAAAAACAAACAGAAAATCCCAGAACGTGGAAGTGAGAAAAGAGCAGGGGAAGTATTTGGCACTGACAGATTTTCAAACGACGAGAGCATCAGCTGTTAGATCCCCTCAGACACAGCCTGTTCTTCAACCAGGTATAAAAGGAATTTTTCCTCTAGTTTGCTTCAGCTGGGAAATGAATCACATTTTCTCAGTCTTGAGACATTTTGCAGTTTTGTGCCTCTATTAATGTGTAAGGATGAGGTGGTGCTGGTGCTCAGAGCTGCTGTGATTGTAACTTTGGGACCTGTTTACTTAACAGCCTCGTCACCCCAGTGGTAGATTTGCATGGGCCTCCTGCCATTTGGAGTTCTTACTGCGTCCGCCAGGTCAGGGGAAATTGTGAGGTTCTGCTCTTTCTGTCCTGTGCCTGGTTTTTGGCTGTGCCTGAATCCCAGCACAGGATACAGGATTTCCCACTATTTGCATTGATTGGCTTGTCTGGGAAAGGGTCTCTGGACCATCAAAGGGGCATTGTCTCAGTCTTATTTCTGTTACTGTAATTAATGCCCCAGAATGGGTAACTTACAATGGAAAGAGGCTTATTTATCTCCCGGTTTTGGGGAGCAAGAGTCGAAACAGCATGGTGCTGACTGACAAGGGCCCCTTGACCACATCCCATCATGACCGTGGTGTGTGCGAGAGGGAAAGATCACACAGCAAGAGAGGAAGTCAAAGAGCAAGCTATTCGGGGACCAGGCTCACTCTTGTGATGACCCTCTATAAGAACTAAGCAGGGGTCCAATGAGAACAACAGCAGTCTACCCCGAGGGCAGTGCCGCCAATGACCTAGACTCCTTCCAGTAGGCCCTGACCTTTAAAAGGCTCCACCTGTGAACTTCGCCGCACTGGGGGACCTGATTTTCAACCCTGGAGCCCCTGGGGACACACTCGAACCATATCCAGGCCACAGCAGGCATGAAGGCCCCCGCAGCCAGTCAAAGATGACCCGCCCAGTCTCTCTGGGTTCTCTGCAGGGTACAGATCAAGACCTGGCTGTGAGGCCCACGCTGTGGCGCAGCAGGTTAACGCCCTGGCCTGAAGCGCCGGCATCTCCATATGGACACAGATTCCAGTCCCGGCTGCTCCACTTCTATCCAGCTCTCTGTGACGGCCTGAGAAAGCAGTAGAAGATGGCCCAAGTCCTTGGGCCCCTGCACCCACGTGGGAGACCAGGAAGAAGCTCTTGGCTCCTGGCTTCAGATCAGCCTAGCTCCGGCTGTTGCGGCCAAATGGGGAGTGAACCATCAGATGGACGACCTCTCTCTCTCTCTCTCTCTCTCTCTCTCTCTCTCTTTCTCTCTCTCCTCTCTCTGTGTAACTCTGACTTTCAAATAAATAAAAATAAATCTTTAAAAAAAAAGACCTGGCTGTTCCAGAGTTCTCAGTGGTACCACTGAGGCACGTGACCCCAACAGTTTAAGAGATTTGAAAATTGCGTCTCTGCTAATACCTGTGTAGTGTGAATCACTCTGAACCAGTGGTTCTCCAACTTCAGCGGGCATCAGAGTCATCTGGAGGGCTTGTTAAAACACAGATTGTGCAGTCCTTTCTCAGGAATTTTAATTCTCTGGGTCTAAAGTGGGCACAGGTATTTGCTTTTCTAACAAAGTTCTTGAGTGTTGCTGATGCTGCTGGTCTGGGGACCGCACCTTGAGAATCACTGCATTGGACTTCGGCTCTGACAGCTTCAAAAGATCTTAGAGTTAAGGAACATGCCTCAGCCTTACAGGTAGAGGAATTAAATCCAGAGAGATTGCTTTGCCAATGACGAACAGCTAGTCAGTGTCAGAAGTGGACTAAAGGGGCTGGCTCTGTGGCTTAGTGGGTAAAGCCACCGCTTGCAGTGCTGGCATCCCATATGGGTGTCAGTTCGAGTCCCGGCTGCTCCACTTCCTATCCAGCTCTCTGCTATGGCCTGGGAAAGCAGTGGAAGATGGCCCAAGTGCTTGGGCCCCTGTACCCACATGGGAGACTGGGAGGAAGCACCTGGCTCCTGGCTTCGGATCAGCACAGTTCTGATCATTGCGGCCATCTGGGGAGTGAACCAGTGGATGGAAGACCTCTCTCTGCCTCTCTTTCTCTCTGTATAACTCTGACTTTCAAATAAATAAATAAACAAACAAACAAATCTTTTTTTTTATTTAAAGAAGTGGACTAAATTCTGACAAAGCATCTTTTCCACTGTGTTGCCTTGCCACCTTCCTTTTATGCCTCCTGTGTCTCGTTATTTTCCATTGATGCTGCTCATCTCTTAGGTTACTTTGCCATGGATGTGCATACTCATCGTCCTGTCCTACACTGTAAACTCAAGATGACACCTGCTATTTAAATTAGTCATCAAAGAGATAGTTCCCCATACATGTCCAGATCCTAATCCTGGGAGCCCGTGAATATGTTATGCTGCATGGCAAGGAGGAATTCAGGTTGCTAAGCAAATGACTTTAGCTTAAGGATTTATTTTATTTATTTGAAAGACTTACAGAGAGAGGTAGAGACAGACAGAGAGGTCTTCCATCCGCGGGTTCACTTCCCAGATGGCCACAATGGCTGTAGCTGAGCTGATCTGAAGCCAGGAGCCAGGAGCCAGGAGCTTCTTCCAGGTCTCCCACATGGGTGCAGGGGCCCAAGGACTTGGGCCATCTTCTGTTGCTTTCCCAGGTCATAGCAGAGAGCTGGGTCAGAAGAGGAGCAGCCGGGATGAGAATCGGTGCCCATATGGGATGCTGGTGCTTTAGGCCAGGGCTTTAACCCGCTGTGCCACAGCCCCGGCCCCACTAAGCAGATGACTTTAAATAGATGATCCTGGATTATCTGGGTGGGATCCCATGCAATCACAGGGGTCTTTTAAATATGTAAGAAGGGGGCTGGAGAGTAGATGTCAAGAGTTACTCAACAAGAAAGACCTAATTGGCCATTGCTGGTTTTGAGGTTGAAAGGGGCCATGAGCCAAGTAATGTAGGTAATGTCTGGAAGCTGGAGAGGCAGGAGAATGAAGCTTCCCCTAGAGTCCCCAGACAGAACACAGCCCTGCTGACACCTGGCTGTTAGCCCAGGGACACTCATTTTAGACTCCTGACCTCTAAAGCCATGACATAATACATCTTTGTTCCAGCAGCAGCAGCAGCAGCAGCAGCAGCAGCAGCAGCAGGTGTCATGTGTACTCACAACAGGATGGTGAATTAAAGAAGACTGGGGGTAGGAGGGTGGGGAGGAGGCGGGCATTCTGGTACAACAGGTTAAGTCACCCCTTGCAACACTAGCATCACATATCATAGTCCCTGTTTGTGTCCTGGCTGCTCCACTTCTGATCCAGCTCCCTGCTAATGTGCCTGGAAAAGCAGTGGAGGATGGCCCAAGTGCTTGGGCGTCTGCACCCACATGAGAGGACACAGATGGAATTCCTGGATTCTGGCTTCAACATGGCCCAGACCTGGTTGTTGTGGCCATTTTGGGGAGTGAATCAGCAGAAAAGGATTCTCGGCTGGCACCGCGGCTCACTAGGCTAATCCTCCATCTGCGGCGCCAGCACACCGGGTTCTAGTCCCGCTCGGGGCGCCGGATTCTGTCCCGGTTGCCCCTCTTCCAGGCCAGCTCTCTGCTGTGGCCCGGGAGTGCAGTGGAGGATGGCCCAAGTGCTTGGGCCCTGCACCCGCATGGGAGACCAGGAGAAGCACCTGGCTCCTGACTTCACAGTGCGCCGGCCGCGGCGGCCATTGAGGGGTGAACCAACGGCAAAAGAAGACCTTTCTCCCTGTCTCTCTCTCTCTCACTGTCCACTCTGTGTGTCAAAAAAAAGGGGGGGGGGAAGGATTCTCTCTCTTTCTCCCTCTCTGTCACTCTGCCTGTCAAATAAATAAATAAATGTTAAAGAAAAAAAAAAAGGAGATGATGGTGGTAAACACTGGTGTCTGGCACAGAATACAAGCCCCTGAGGATGAAGACTGTGCCCGCACACAGGGACTGTGCCATCAGCAAGCTAACTTTATTAGCTTTTCTGAATTGACCTTAATCTGCCTTTTAAAAAATGAATTTATGTATTTAATTTTATTTATTAGACATACACACAGATTTTTTCATCCACTGGTTTAGTCCCCAAATTCCCACAACAACCAGGGCTTGGCTAGTCCAAAGCCAGGAGCCTGGAGCTTAAACTGGGTCTCCCCTATGGGTGGCAGGGACCCAAAGACTTACGCCATCACCTGCTCCCTCCCAGGATGTGCATCAGCAAGAAGCAGGGATGGGAAGGGGACCTGGGGCTTGACCCCAGGCACTCTGACATGGTGTGAGGGCAGGCATCCCACTTGTGTCTTAAATGCTGCTCCATACACCTGCCCCAACCCTGGTTGCTTCGCTGCTTGAAGATCACCTCTCCTCTCCTTCCTGCAAATCTGGGCTGATCTGTGTGTCTGACAGGAAGGTTTCCTTAGCAGGGCTCTGCTGCCTTACCACCCCCACCAGACTCAGCCACACCCTTCTGTCTGCATTGCTCACTTTGCAATTCCAAGAAGTGTGCCCGCACAGCGGCACAGCGAAGGAACAGGAAGCCTGCCAAAATGAATACATCAAGAAACCAGGGCTCTGCTCGGCTTCCCTGTAGGAGCAGAGCAAATGGATTCTGAACATGTGTTTGCTTTACGCTGCGATCTGTTCCCAATGTGGCAGCCGCCTCTTCCTGGGCAGAGAGAGAAGCGGAGTTATGAATGGAGTTTGCACCTCTTGTGCGATGATGATTCTTGGCTTGGGATTTGGGGTAATTTTCAGAGCACACTGTAGCAGTTATGTTTTTCTGATTGTTTTCTCCTTATTTATGTGTTCCCCAGCCAGAACTGCGTTGATGCCTACCCTACCTTCCTGGCTGTGCTCTGGACCGCGGGGCTACTGTGCAGTCAAGGTAAGTCCGACGTCCCTTGGTGTGTGCTCGCTCTAGAATGTGTGTGTCGCAGAGGGTCAAAGGGCAGGCATTTTGTTGAAAAGACTTTGCCTGACCTCCAGCTCTGACCTGCAAAGCCCTTGGAGAGAGGAGAGCCCCCCGGGATGTTGTGTTCCGGGCATGCTCTGTGCCTGTGTGGAGCGGCTGTGATAATGCATTGCTAATGCTTGCTCCCAGGTGGTTGGTTGAGAGCTGCTGTGCTGACAAGGGTGGTTTAAGGCTAAATGTGACTCAGAATCCTTAAGCAGTGTGAGCTGGGATACAAGGGCATTGTAAATGAGAGCGCCTGTGGGATCTATTCTGGGACTGCTGTCACTTGGCTCCTCTGCTAATAAGCTTCCGGGCGTGGTGGCCCTCCTTTGCACACGTGTCTGTGACACGGTCGCCTGGATTCTAGGTCCCCAGCCTACCCTACGTTATCAGCATCCCACAGTCTCGACACCAGCAAGTTGGGAGAACGGCTCCATTCCCAGAGTTGATTTAAAATGGAACGGAAACCAGTGACTTATTTTCCTATCCCCTTTCACAATTTGGCAGTCAGCAGGCTTGGCCACCACTGGCACCTTGTCTGATGGTGGCGAGGCATGAACTGGCCCGGGGCCGCAGCCCAGCAGGGCCCGCGGAAAAGCCCGCAAGCAGTCCAGCAACCAACTGTTTCATCCTTATCATCTTCTCCCCACTGGGAGAAGTAGGCAGAGCAGATGTTTTCCCTCTGGTACTGTCGAGGACACTTTGGTTCAGGGAGATAAAGTGATTTGGTCAAGGTGGCTCAGCAGGTAACTCACAGAGGCAGGCAGGCGGGGCGCCCAGGAGTTGGGGCTGTGAAGTATCCCCCGACTTTATGTAATGAGGTAATAAACGTACTTGGAGCATCCACAAATGCCAGATCTTACTTAATAACACAGAGACAGTGGTGGGGCACCTGCCAGAGGCAGCAGGGTCGGGGTGGGGTCATAGAAAAAGTGAGTGAAGGGATGTGGCATTGCCAAGAGCAAGAGGCACCATGGAAGTGCAAAGCAGGTGCCGGCATGGGGACCAACGGTGAGGGGCAGGCAGCGGAATGCCCCTCGGGGGCACCATCTGGCCTCCTTCTGAGCTCCAAAGGCTGTCGACAAGCTCACCACTTGCTTTCCACTTTCTGTCCCGAGTTAAATAAGAAACACATCTGGCGTGACTTGAAACATCAAGTCGGATCATGCTCAGGCCAGGAGCTATGGCGCTTTGTGTCTTAGATGCTACTTAATCTAGATAAATCTACAGATAAATATAACGGGAGCTAGCGGGTGTTTCAGAGCCTGGAAATAGGAATTTCATTCCCAGAGGACACCCCTGGTGGGTCATTGTCACTTATTGGAAATGCTGGAGATCACAGAACTTTTGTTTAAAAAAGATTTTATTTATTTATTTGAGGGATAGAGTTACAGAGAGAGAGAGGGAGGGAGAGACAGACACTCCCCAAATGGCTTCAATGGCCGGAGCTGGGCTGATTCTGAAGCCAGGAGCCAGGAGCTTCTTCCAGCCTCCCACATAAACACCAAGCTCTCTGCTGCTTTCCCAGGCCATAGCAGAGAGCTGGATCAGAAGAGGAGCAGCCGGGACTAGAACCAACTCCCATATGGGATGCTGGCACCAAAGGAGAAACGTTAGCCCACTACACCACAGCAGCCGCCCCCAGAGATTATAGTTTTTCAGCTGCAAGGAAGCCCGGAGATCTTTCTACCGCAAACCCTCATTTTACAAGCAGGAGCCTAAGCCGCCAAGGATAAACGTGTTGCTCTAACTTCATAATGCTTGAGTCTTGATTTCTACTGCCTGGTGTTCCCAGTAGCCCAGGACCCCATGGAAGCCCTCACTATTGCCTGCAGAAGGGCCACATGTGTAGCCGTTTTCCACCTGAGTGCCATTGGCTTTGTTCAACTGAGCCCCGAAGGTCAGAGAAATGAGCCACCTAGATGGGAAAACCCAGGCAAAACTTTGCCCAAGGCAGATAGTGGCGCAGGATGAATTTCACAGCGGTGCTTTTGGGCTTTGGTTCTCTCATCTCCGGGTAGCAATCGTGTTTGGGAAGGAGGTGAATCGGTGGGCAAGCAATGGGTGTTGAGCAGTGACAGACTGGAGGCAAGGCCAAGGACGCTCACTGCTGGGGTGCGACCCGGGGAGCTCACTCAGCCTGAGTGTCCTGGTTGGGAAACAGAACCCTGGTCTTTCCGGCAGCACTCCTGCGATGAGGAAGGCGATAGCGTGCACACAGCCCTGGAAATGGTGCTTGGTGTGTAGCAGACTGGAGACTGCCAGGATTGGCTGTTTATGACTCGAAGAAATGGCACTTGCTTGTGGTTCCGTCTGATGATGGAAGCTCCGTAAATGCTGTCAGTGACGGTGCCGGGGTGGTGATAAAGTCTCGAATCAGAAAGACTCATTTCAAATCTCGCTTCCTTTGACCACGTGACTATTTTCCATATGCCAATTATTTCTTTTGGAAGGCAGTAAGCACCAGGCAGGATGCCAGGCCCAGAGATGATTCAGGAAAAGACAACTGGCCTCCATAGAGGTTTCAGTCCTAGCCAGAATTTGCCCCTTTGTCAAACGGTGACCCTAACATGTCCCTCAGCAGGTGTCTGGAAGGACTGGAGACAGGGAAAAGGGGTGTGACTGGCGTGTAAAAATTGCTCGTCAAGACAGCTAATTTGATATTTGACTGATTCTTGGAGGTTTGCAAATTGCCTTTATTTGCATGGCCCTGTTTCTCCCTTATACTAATCCCTAACGGGTTGGAAATCTGTAATCAGGCCCTTAGTCAGATGCAGATGGAGCTTACCACCAGCCCCAGACACCACCAGTCCTGGTGGGTCCGGGTTTTCCAGCCCCCAGCTCCCAGGTTGGGAGGCAATGGGACTCTTGGGGCGCTGCTCGAGGCTGTTGCTGAAAGGGCTGGAACAGGGATGGAGTCTCCTTCCTTGGAATCTTCTCACACAGCAGCCATTCTTCAGGCCCTGTTAAGGGATGCACTGCTGGGAGCCCCCGGGGTGAAGGGTGTGCTTTGCAGAGGGCCAGCCTCAGAGCTGAGCTCAGGGTTCGAGTCCTGCCTCCCAGCCCCTCCTCGCTGACCGACAGCGTCATCCGGAGCCAGCTTTCCCCATCTGGAAGTAGAAACGCCAGTTACTACATGGGAGCATTCGTGTTAGGTGATGGACAGGCAAGCGCTTCCTGAGCGAGGCCTGGTGCAGGCCAGAGGAATCGCACTCACAGGAACGTCCTCGGGTTTCCTCCAGCCCAAGGGCTTCTATCTGCAGAACCCGTGGCCTTGGCTAGATTCTGTGACCACCGTTGATCGCATAGAGGCCGTGTACATAATGTGCTGAGCCAGCACGTCACAGGTGTTTTCCTTCCTCCACTTAGTCCCGGCGGCCTTTGCTGGCCTGATGTACTTGTTCGTGAGGCAGAAGTACTTCGTCGGCTACCTGGGAGAGAGAACTCAGAGGTAAGTGAGGGACTGTTGAGGAACCGTGGGAGTGATTCGTGCTTTCCGAGCGGGAAGAGTGGTAGATGATTCCAAATGATGTAGGGACTAGCGCTGATGGCTTGGGATGCAGGGCGGGAGGCAGCCTGGGATCCATCATCCTCTTCTCCTTGAACTTAGAGGTCTGAAAACACAGCTGGGAGACTTGGCTGGATTTCCCATGAAAGCATTCCTCCATCTAGCCTTGGAATTACAAAGGGCGCTTTAATGCCGGCCACCGCACATTTCTGTACCTACAGTCTGCAATGACTGTTTTATGTCAGGCTGCCCCAGCCTCGGGGGGCGGGGGGAGCCACTCCTCTGTTCATCTAGAGAACCAGATCTGAAGCCTGAACCTTGTGATGATTTATTTTGAGCTACAGCTTTTCCAAGAACCTGCAGCAAAATTAAAAAAAAAAGTTTATTTAAAGACAGAGAAGAGAAGAGAGAGAGAGAGAGAGAGAGAGAGATCTCATCCATTGATTCACTCCCCAAATGCCTATAGTGTCCAGGGCTGGGCCAGGCTGAAGCCAGGAACTGGGAAGTTAACCTGGATCTCCCACGGTGAGTGACAGGGACCCAACTGCTTGGTCCATGCTCCCAAGGCATGCATCAGCAGGAAGCTGGAGTTGGAAGTAGGGCTGGGACTCAAACCCAGGTGCTTTGCTAGAGGATGCAGATGTCCCAAGAGGTGTCTTACCCTATGTGCCCCATGCCCGCCCCAGAGAGAATGCTGAGAACGTAAGATGCGTGGGGAGACGCTGAGACCATGACTATAAGCAACCATCGAGTGGCTTTTAGATATTGCCAGAGAGAAAGCTCCAAGGCAGCCCTGTGCTTTTGTGACATCTGAACTGGGAAATCTGGATTTTAGTAAAATAAACAATGCTACTTACAGAAGACCCGTTGGAGTCCCAGTATGCCATTGTTTCCGTAGCGACTAGAGTGCCTAATGGACCAGATGGGCTTTGAGAGCCAGGAATACATCCTGGGAGGCTGCCACTCCATGTGCCAGCCCCAGCCATCCTGGTGTGTGTCTGCCTCCCACTCCGGCTTTTACAATAGCACATTCTCTAGTGGTTACCAGGCTCCCGGTGTAGACAGCATCGTTCAGCAGTGACAAGGGCAGTGGCATGCTCCGGAGGTTGGCAGAGGAATGCTGGGAGCCTGTGAGGTTCAGGGACTTCAGGGGTTCACGGGGAGCTGGGATGTAGTGGGGAAAATGACCACTGGCCTAGCGATCCCTCCCCCCCAGCCCCTTCTCTCCCCGCCAGTGGCGCTCTTATTTACCTATACACCTGCAATGCTCTGTCTCTCTCATTCTTACCCACAGTGTCCTAAATGATGCTCTCTCTTTTCCATTACCCTGATGACCTGTTGTGAAGAGAGAGGGGGCAGAGGGTCCAGCATGGAAACAAAGCGTTCTCTGTTGGACTGGCTCCAGGTGTCCGCAGTTGTATCTTCCTCCCGCCGAGTCCCAGAGATTGGGCTCTGTCACCCTTCTCCATTCTCCTCTTTACCTGTCACCACCAGCTCGAGATCCTGCAGTTGCTTTAATCCTGAGAAGATCCGCTGGGCATGACAAAATTTGTCCGCCTACCCAGTGACCCTTTAAAAGATATTATAGACTAATCCACTCTTTGGGAATAAAAAGAGGTGGCCAAAAATGTACGATAGGGTATAGACTTGTAAGAAATCTTACAAATATTCGATTTCGCTGGACCTCATTGGACTGTAAATGGCCTGAACTCCTGAGTCCCGCCCTTATCTCCCCCATTAGATGATGAGTAGTATCATCAATAGAAATGATATCTCCTGGAGGAAATGTCTAATACGAATCTAGACCAAAATTCAGCCTGAGCTAGATGCAAGCCTGGGGGTATTATGGTAAGGGGAAGGGGTTTTCAATTCTGCCTTGTAATATCCTCTTCAGTTAGACACCCGAGAGCCCCTGTGTCCCTGGGCTGTGCCACCCTTGGGCTTTGCGGATACCTAACACTCCAGTGCCCTTGGGATCTGCTTTTGTCCTTGGCTCACCAGCCTGGGAGAGGATTGTTCATAAAGAGCCTTCTTCCAGGATTTCTCTCTTGGGCTGCCGATTGCCTCTGCTCTCTTCCCCGAAGTTGCTTTGGCCCTGTCCAGTTCAGACTCTTTGGTGTCATTTTTGGTGTGACGGGTGGGTGAGCCGTCACTGAACTCACCGCCCCTAGGAAAGGGACTTACTTCAGGCTCCAGGCTGCCCCGGGGGGCAGTTTTGCTGCTTCCTTCTCCAGTTCTCCTCGAAGTTTGTTGCTCTTATTTGCATCCCTTATCCTGCTCCCGAATGCTTTCCTCTCTGTCCTGCTTAGTTCATCCGTGGCATGATTACTACGTAGTAGTTACAGGTGAATCCGGGTTTCTTCCCTTGCATTCTAAGCCACCACCCGTGCCACACTCAAGGGCAACCAGCACCGTATTACAACACTATCTGCTTCTTATCATCTGCCTTCCCCGGCTGGCTCTAGGCTGCCGCCTCTTTCTGTGCCTCAGAGCCCTGTCCCCTGTGGGCACTCCCACAACATTCCTCTTGACACTCTCAGCTCCATGGTGGCTGCACTACAACACCAAGTCACCTGTCAACAGCATAAATGCGTTTCTCGCAGTGCTGGAAGCTGTGACTTCCAAGGTCAGGGTGCTGGCCATCTTGGTGTCTGCAGAGAGCTTTCTGTATCCAAGATGGCGCCCGGTTGCTGCATCCTCTTAGAGCGAAAGTCCGAATGGTAAAAGGGGCTTTATAAGGTCATATTGCCATCCACGAGGGCTCACCCTCATGGCTTAATCATCTCCTAAAGGCCCCACCTCTTAAAGAAGTTGCAACCTAGAAATTTTGAGCGACATTTACACGCCACCGCCATTGGTTTCTCTTGAGGCTGATGAACTCAGGCCACCCAACTCCACCTTGTCCTGGGTTGCTTGCTTGGTCCTTTAGTCAGTCAACACTCATTCGGTGAGTGTGCACTGATGGCCTGCATTGATCAGGGCTCATTCCAGGCCAGAAGCATTCAACTTACTAAGATATTAATGGATTTACTTTTCAAAAGGTAACAAGACTGATCCCTCGTAGTCAGTTCTTCTTAGCGTCAGTATTTCAGAGTCTCCGGGTCCCTCCAAGTGTGGACCGTACTATTTCTCAGCAGAGTGTGAGGGCAAGCTGGCTTTTTCTGGGAGCCCTGGGGTGCATGTGGATATCAAGGATTGTGTTTTTCAAACTGATAGCTGCCCAACAGCAGTATCAGAATCACTGAGGTGCTCATAACCTAGAGATTCCTGAGCCCCGCCTCCAACTTCCAACATCAGATCTCTTAACACTGCCCTGCACTGTAATACATCCTTCAGGTCATTCACACATACACTGCGGCTTGTCAATCACTGAAGGCTTGCATACTTTTTTTCTTTATTTTTATTATTTGAGAGGCAGAGAGATAGAGAGATAAACAGACAGGCAGGGAGCTCCCTTCCCCCGGGTTACTCCCCAACGACCAAAACCACTGGGGTTAGGCCTGGCATAATGTGGGAGTGGGCAACTCAATCCAGGCCTCCCATGTGGGTGGCAGGGATCCAAGTACTGGAGCCATAGCAGTGCCTCCCACAGTCTGCACAAGCAGGAAGCTGGAATCAGGAGGTGGAGCTGGGACTGAACCCAGGTGCTCCAGTGTGGGGTGTGGGTATCCTAACGCTAGGTCAAACCCCGCCCCCACGCCTCTTTCCCCCATACGAGTCATTCCTTTGACACCTATTGATGGAGGGCCTGATTGATTGGAAACAGCCGGCTGCAGAGTGGAGACCACACCCTGCTCTCACGGAGCTTGCAATTTTTCTTTCCTGCAGAAGTCACCAGGTCTAAAGTGACATTTCCCCGTCGACATGGAAATCATTTTAAAACCAGAGGGACTGTAAAGTGTTCTGCTCCTGCCTTATATCTTGTGTACATTAAGGGCTGCCGTGGGAAGCAGTGCTGTTGAGGCAGGGGAGGGCAGTGACTGGCTGGGGTACCCCAGGGCTGGACCCCGGGGTCTCTGGAGCTGGGGTTCACCACCTCCCACACCACAGCCTCTCATCCCTGACGTTGTCAGCACATTTTAGATGGGATTTTGCTTAGCAAAATGCCTTTCATGTTTTTTTTTTCTTTTCCTTCAAAGATTTACTTATTTGAAAGGCAGAGCAACAGAGAGGGAGAGAGAAAGAGAGAGAGAGGCAGAGAGAGATTCTCTATCCACCAGTTCAGTCCCCAAATGCCCACAACAACCAGGGTGAGGCCAGGTAGAAGCCAGGAGCCGGCTGGCGCCATGGCTCAATAGGCTAATCCTCCGCCTAGCGGCGCCGGCACACCGGGTTCTAGTCCAGTTCAGGGCACCGGATCCTGTCCCGGTTGCCCCTCTTCCAGGCCAGCTCTCTGCTGTGGCCAGGGAGTGCAGTAGAGGATGGCCCAAGTATTTGGGCCCTGCACCCCATGGGAGACCAGGAGAAGCACCTGGCTCCTGCCATCGGATCAGCGCAGTGCGCCGGCCGCCGCGCGCCAGCTGCAGCGGCCATTGGAGGGTGAACCAACGGCAAAAGGAAGACCTTTCTCTCTATCTCTCTCTCTCACTGTCCACTCTGTCTCTCAAAAAAAAAAAAAAAAAAAAAAATCCCAGTCTGCAAAGCCTGAGGGTGGCCTCTGGAAGCCAGTGTGGTACAAAGAACAGGACGCCAATGTCGCACAGGAAGGTCTGAATTCCCTCTGATTCTGCCTGGCTGTGTGCCCCCAGGCAAATCACTCAACCTCTCTGCTCTGTTTCCCCAGCTGGCAAACAGGTTGATAATGCAGCCTCACGCAGCGCTTGTGGGAATGCAGAGACTTCACAGACAGGCAATGCCTTCCCCACCCCCCAACAGATGCTTAATTACTGAATTCGGAGCTTCCCACCCGTTGAGAGAGAATTATGCACCAGCTTTCACAAACGACAGAGAGATGTCTGCACTGTTCAGGGGTTGCGGATCATGCGTGTGCACCGCGCAGGGCCCTGCTCTTCCTCGTGGGCTGTGTCTCGCTGCAGCTTCCCTGTGTCTTTGCCTGGGCCGGGGGACAGGTGCTTCCTCTGCACACACCATGCCCACCTTCCGGGCAGCAGCCTCATCTCCAAGCCTGAGAGACTGAATGATGCATCCAATGAGGGGCCCGCCTTGGGGCCAAGGTCACCCTGAGCCCTGCAGGGGAGGGAGCAGGTGCCTGGGTGCTTGCATCCCCACCTGTGCCCCCAGGAGTTAAAGCGCCATTGTCCTGGCTGCTGTGGAATCCTACCTATGTCCCCATACAGCTCTCCATCCCCAGACACTGCCATTCCCTTCATCACCAGGGCTCCATCGGTTTTGTTGTGAGCCTAAAACAACTTGGCAGATCGCTTGTTCTTATTTCTGTCATGAGCACGCCGTGGCCTCGTGCATGTAGATAAATCTGAGCCAGCACGAGGCTCGACTGTTCACAATTTAAGTTAGCGGCATCCTCTACTTGCACTGCTTCATTTCGTTTGCACTTTTCTCGCCGGCACTCACAGGTGACTGTTATTTCTGCTGGAGCTGCCACAACTAAGGCCTGTAGACTCAGAGGCTTAGGTAGCGGAAATGCAGTCTCACATCTTAGAAGCTGCAAGACCAAGTTCAAGGTGTTGGCTGTTGGTTGCTGTCGATCCCTTCTCCCTGGTCTGCAGATGGCTGCCTTCTTACCTTGGGGGCATGTGGGCATCTCACCAGGACACCTGCCCTATGAGATCAGGGCCGGACCATAAGCCTGTGGTGAGCCTTATAGAAGAGACCTTGACCCCAGGAAGGGCGTGGAAATCGGAGTTGTTGATCCAAGGGTACAAAAGTCCGATAGACTAAGGGAATCCGTTGCAATGACCCACTGCATGGCGTTGGCTATTAATAATGATGTGCGGCCTGTTTCAGCATTGCTGGAAGATTACACTTTTTTTTTTTTTTTTTTGACAGGCAGAGTGGACAGTGAGAGAGAGACAGAGAGAAAGGTCTTCCTTTGCCGTTGGTTCACCCTCCAATGGTCAGCGCGGCCGGTGCGCTGCGGCCTGCGCACCGTGCTGATCTGATGGCAGGAGCCAGGTGCTTATCCTGGTCTCCCATGGGGTGCAGGACCCAAGGACTTGGGCCATCCTCCACTGCACTCCCTGGCCACAGCAGAGAGCTGGCCTGGAAGAGGGGCAACCGGGACAGAATCTGGTGCCCCGACCGGGACTAGAACCCGGTGTGCCGGTGCCGCTAGGTGGAGGATTAGCCTATTGAGCCGTGGCGCCGGCCCAAGATTACACTTTAATGTCCTCGTGCCCCCCAAAACTAAGCCAATAGGGAGATGAACGTGTGAATTCACTTGATGAACTCTTTCCAAAATGTGCAGATGAAAACATCCTATTGTGTCCCATAAATCTACACAGTTATCACTCATCAGTTCAAAATAAATTACTAAAAAGCAAGACTGCATCTCCAAGTGGAACCCCCAGTCTCAGGGACTGGGGCTTAGGACTTCCACATACAGGGTTTGGGGGAGGCACCATTCAGCCCACAGCACCCTGCTTTGGGACCAGTTCTGTTCCCCAGCGAGGAGACAGAAAGCTTCATTTCCTGTTCAGGGCTCTGAACAGGAAACCAACATGAGACAAATGGAGCTGCCCTGGAGCGGAGGTGGCCTCGGGCCAGCAGAGCCTCTCACAGATCTGGGTGTCCCTGGGTCACTTAGGGAGCGTGTCAAAATGCAGATTCTGCTTCACTAGGTCTGCGAGGGACCTGAGATTGCCTGTTGCTGGTAAGCTCCCAGCCCGTCGCTGCTGGTACACGGACTGCACTTGGAGTAACCAGGAGGCTGATCCCTAGCTGCCCAGACACTTTCAAGCGCTTGCTGTAGGGAAAAACCCGAGTTATACTACAAACCTATGGGGCGGCCTGCCAATAGGTACCATCTCCAACATGAGGCCCGTGCAGGGCAAATTCTGTGCCTCTGTGCACCAGCAGCGAGAAGTGGGGCTCAGCACGCACTGACCTGCTCGGCCGAGTAGGCTGTTCTGATTGCCGCTTGCTGCCCTTGCCGACACGTTTGCTGACAGCTCGTGAGTCATGTGACTGGACTTGGCAGGCGCGCTAGCACCGCTCACATGCATCAGGGCAGGGTCCTGCAGGAAGAGAGTGGAAGCCAGGCTGTCTTATCATGCAGTCAGGGGCGGTGCCTCCCACCCCCGCTGATGCTCTGCCTGAGCAGCCTAGCGCTTACAGCCTTGAGATCGAGAGGGAAACAGGAATGCAAAGTGTAAAGGCCCTGGGGTATGCATTCAAGGCTCCAGTGAAGATGCCCACTTCACACGTGAGAGTGCCTGCCTGGGTTTGATTCCTGGCTCCAGTGCCAATTCCAGCCTCCTGCTAATGCAGACCCTGGGAGGTGGCGCTGATGGCTCAAGGCGCTGGGTCCCTGCCTGCCACCCATGTGGGAGACCTAGATTGAGTTCCTGGCGTCTGGCTTCAGTCATGGCTCAGACTTGGCTGTTGTAGGCACTTGGGAAGTGAGCTGACAGATGGGAGATCCCTCTGTGCGTCTGTGCGTCTGTCTCCCTGCCTCTAGCAGGGGTTGAGAACGTCCGGCCTGCAGCCCGTCTAAGGCCTGGGAAATCATGTGGCCTGGCCCTGCCGAGGGAGCTGCAGGCGGGGCTTGAAATTCAGTCCATCCGTAGCAGCCTCATTTTCAAGTTGATCATCTTGTGTGGCCCGCAAATGATGTTCTAAATATCCCAGTGGCCTTTGATAGAAAAAAAAGTTTTCCCACTCCTCCTCTAGAGTCTAAACAAACAAAGGACCAAAAGGACCTGGTGGCCATCACTTGCCCAAAACTGAGTGCCTGGCTCTCATTACGGAGAACGGCAGCCTTGGGAGAACAGGTTGAACGCTGAGATGCTAAAGTACCCGTTAGATCCCACCAGCTTTATCAGCTCATTTAAACCATGGCTTCTAGCACAGTCCTGCATTCTGCACACAGACAGCAGTGAGGGCTTATGGGCACCCCCTGAGAGGGGCAGCTATGGCAACAAGGAGAGGGGCCCTCAGTGAGGAGAGAGCCTTTGAGCCACAGTGCCGGCCTCCCTCAAGTGGTCAGGGGGCTGAGACCTGGGAGGATGTGCTTTGAGGTGCAGAGTCTCTGAGCCTGCTTTGAAATGTGATCCACGGCCAGCGATAGCTAAGACACTTCCAGCCTTCCTAGGCCGTAAATGGAACGTTGTAGAGTAGGAAGTGCTATCAATTAATCCCCATGTACCCGAGGACGGTCACGTGTGTGTGTGTGTGTGTGTGTGTGTATGTGAGAGAGAGAGAGAGAGAGAGAGAGAGAGAGAGAGAGAGAGAAATCCGTGCATTTATGCTGCAGCTGCCGTCTCTCTCTCCTTTCCCAGCACCCCTGGCTACATCTTCGGGAAACGCATCATTCTGTTCCTGTTCCTCATGTCCCTGGCCGGCATACTCAACTATTGCCTCATCCTCCTGTTCGGCAGTGACTTTGAAAACTACATAAAGACGATCAGCACCACCATCTCCCCTCTGCTTCTCATCCCCTAGCTCTCTGCTGCATTCGGGGCCGTGCGCTCATGCGATCGATACCTCGGAGCTGTCATAACTCAGAGCTTTAAAGGATCCTGCTCCTCTCTGGGCAGCAGTAAATCTAACCACCATCTGGCCCTCACGGCTCCAGTTAACCTTGCCTTTCCGAGAAGACAGTTTTGTGTCAGCTCCGCCCCCTTGAACTTGGCAGTGGCCTCAGTTTTGTTATTCAGATCCGTTCTGTGTAGCTCTTGGCTTATCCTGCTCACCCAGCGTGTTTTGTGACCAGATACATATTTTCCAAAAATAAAACACGGAGACTTCTCGCGCGCTGCTGGTTGTTTTTGGATGCACAGCTGCAGTTGAGCACCTACGTTGTTTTCTTCAACATAAATGGTGACAGTGAAGAGTGCACAATGCTTCCTATGGGCACATGCACACATCAGGGAGCTCACTGATCGTGCACCCTCTCCCCCTCCCACACACACCTTTTGTGGATTAGGTTGATACCTTTATGTGCTAACGGCGAGTCACATACTCTCCGTATCATGCAGTTTAGTGGGTGCTGTTTGTCCCTGTGGGAACATAATGTAACGCCAGGCCCACCCCAGGTGACCCCAAACATTGTTTGCACAAGGGAATAAATGAGTGGGTGAGTGAATACGATCCACATGTTGAGCCACTGCCCCTGTCGTGGACAGATCTGAGGGGACCCCATTGCCATCAGATGGGTGTCACTTGTCCCAAAGAGCACAGCTTGGAGGATGGCAAGCCGTGGTAGAGAGTCCAGGACACCCAGGAGAGAGAAACCAGCTCCTCCGTGGAGTCAGCTGCCCCGGAATGAGTCCTCGAGGGAAACATGTCCCTCTTTGTCCTCTGAATATCAGGATGATGACAATCTCAGGAAGGAGGGAGCCCCTCCAGCGCTCCCCACTCCCCGAGGGGCCTGCAGAGGGGAGCGAAGCTGCTGGAATGTGGAGCCTGGCATGGTGTGAGGTCGGGGTCCACGTGCTTCCTGTGCGACCATCAAGGTGAGGGCATCTCACAGTTCAAGGGGAAGGCCCAGTCTTGGTCTGTCCCATGCTGCTCTAACAGAATTCCCGAGACTGGGGTAATCTACAAAGAACAGAGATTTAAGTCTTAAACTTCTGAAGGCCAGGGCATCCAGAATGGAGGGTCTGGGAAGGGTCTTCTTGCTGCTGTGTCATTCCATGACAGAACACAGAAGGGCAAGAGAGTGGGCATGTGTGTGTGCGTGCGTGCGTGATCACTGGTGTGTATGTGTGCGTGTATGCATGTACACAGGTGTATATATGTGCATGGTCACAGGTGTGTGTGTGCATGGTCACAGGTGTGTGTGTGTGCATGGGCACAGGTGTGTGCAGGTGTACAGGTGTGTGTGTGCCTGTGTACATGTGCCCAGGTGTGTGTGTGTGCATGTGCCCAGGTGTGTGTTCATGGACACAGATATTATGTGTGTGTGCCATGTGCATGGATGGGCACAGGTGTGTGCGTGCATGTATGCATGCACACAGGTGTGTGTGTGCATGTGCACAGGTGTGTGTGTGCATGTGAGAGAGCGAGGTGAGAAAGAATGTGTGTGTGTATGAGAGAGCATGCCAAGCTCGCTGTGAAGCCTGTTCCCGCGGTAATGAACTCACTCCTGTGACAGCAGCATGAATCCTTCCATGAGGGCTCTTAATCACCTCTTAAAGAGCTCATCTTTCCACACTGCCACCCTGGGGATCACGAGTCCAGGACATCCACACGTAACAGGTCCCTGCTTTGCTTCCCGGACCCACCAGATGGTCCAGGCTGGGACCCCCCGCCGCCGGGCTCGCACTGCCAGGGCCCACCCAGCAGGAGCCTCTTCTCACCCTCGGCCCCAGGACAGTGGCTTCTGCTTCCACCCTCGTAGAGGGCTGGACTCTACTATCCACTCCTGCCTCTCGATTCCTCCTGGGGGCTGGGAGGCACGGCAAGACGCAGAAGGAAGAGGCCCCAGGACCCCCTTGTGGCTGGGCTGGAATTCGAGGGTGGGAGGGGCTTCGGTCATCCCCAGTTCCCCTGGAACTGAGGGCTTCCTGGAAGTGGTGCTTTCAGTTTCAAAAGTGGGGAAACCAAGAAGAATCAGTCACCCTTGTGGCTGGCCAGGCCAGGCTATGCACACTGGAACCTGGTGGCACCTCAGAGACCAGGTTGCCCACACCGACCATGGGGCTCCAGAGCGGGGAGGGGCCCAGCAGAGGCTCGCTGGGGGAAGCCTCGGGGTGGGGAGAGTCACGGCTGATGGGGGGAGTAGAAGATGCTTCATCATTGTAGTGAGGAGGGTCTCCGGTGCAGAGCTGCACTCCCTCGTCTACACAGCACTGCGTAGTGGTCAAACGCTCTGCGGGACTTCCAGCCAGGGAGCTCAGCCACTGCTCACCCCCTTCTCCCTGAGCCCTAGTCATGTATGTTAAACTGGGATAGCCCACGGGGCTACAGCGAAGCAATCGAAATGTTTGGCACATAATATGAGCTGAATAAAAGCTACTCCTTCGGATGGGCACGTTGTACTGGTTTTCTATTGGGCGGCAAATTCTCACCAGCCCTGCGGCTCACAACCACACCCCTTTCCATCTCGCACCTTCCCTGGGCCTCTGCTCATGGTCCCTCCAGGCTGTCATCGAGGTCTGGTTGTGGGCAGAGTTGGGTTCTCTGGGTTGCTGGGAATCCTACAGGAGTTCATACAACTTGCTCCACAGCATGGCGGGTTCTGTCTTTACGGTCAACGGAGAGCGTCCTCGGTGCTTTCTCTAGCTCCCTGTTTAAAGGACTCACATGAAAACAAAAAAGGACTCACCTGCTTGTTTTCCCCACGAGAGTGCCCGGTTCCGTGCAGTGGTCTGTCCACGTTCACCCGTGTGCCTTTCCCCTCGCCTGGCCCAGTCTACGCGCTATCATGGAACGCCGTAGGTGGGTAGCCTGTAAACAAGAGAAGCTATTTCTCACGGGGCTCAAGCTGCGAGTTGAAGCTGTCGAGGGAGCCGCTGCCTGGCGGCCCGGTGAGGTCGCAGCTCTGGCTCGCACTTGCTGCCTCCCTGCTCTGTCCTCAGCAGCCGGAGGCAGGAACCCTGATTCCAGCTCCCACACCCTCCTACTCAATCACCGCTCACGGCTCCCTCCCTCTCTGTAACTCCTGATGCTGGGGCCTGCAGATCCGAGTTCAGGAGAGCGGGCAGGAGAGGGGCTGCTGGTCGCCGCGGCTCCTGAGCCCCCACCACGCGCGGCCCCCCTGACTGAGACGCGCTGCGGACGCACCAGGCATGGGAGCTTTTGAAGACTTCACAGCAACAGGAGCAGAAAACAAAGTGTCTCCTTCACCTTTTCCTGTTGGTTCCACATTAAAACAGTGATCTTAGGGACATACCGTGTTCAATAAAATATGTGATTAGAAATAATTTTATTTCTTTATAAAATTTTTAAAAAATTAGAAAGCAAAAAAGAGTAGTAAGAGTCATAAATAATAGTGATCCTTCTTTAATTTTTAATATGTCCTGGCTGATGCACTGGGAAGTTTAAGTTTAACCAGGGAGCATTTTAGTCCATTCGGGCTGCCTGAACAAAGTACAGTCAACCATATATTTCTTTATAAAATCCTTAATGTGGCTACTAGAAAATTTTGAGTGACATTTGTTCCTTCCATTACTTTCCTCTTGAATAGCATTCATTCATAAGTTGGCAAGACCTCAGGGCTGGAGAAAAGGCTGGATCTTGTTCTAAATACTCATCGCTAAGTATGATTTCTTCTAGAGAATTTGGAAAAAGTGTGCTGATGAAAGTTTCCACAATCAACAAACTGGTCCCATCCAGTGTGGATAATGCTCACGGTTCCCTGACTCTTGTTGCCGTATGATCATGAGACTGTTTCATTAAGCATTTCTGATCACAGATGTGGTGCATCATTAAAATAGCATTTTTACGGTCAGCTGAGAGGCAAGGGTTATCTGACTAGGGTGAGAGAAACAGGTTGTGGAGCTGCGGTATAAATGAAATTACCAGAAAGCAAACCCCACTGGCTTGGGGGATTGTTCTTATTAAAATGCTTGGAGAGGAGGAGTTTCTGCTCTCTTTTGCAGAATCGCTCTGTAAATGAAAACCTTGGCGTGGCACATCAGGAGACCATAGTCCCAAGAGAAGTGTTTCCTCCTTGCCCTTGTTTTCCTTGCTAAGCCCTTAGCTGCTGTACAGAGAGGCAGCACAAATTGTCTGTGTGGAGCACATGGATTAAAGTTCACTACAGCCCTGCAAACGGACGCACTCTTACTTGGTCTGAAAGGAATGAGGACAGACCTCCTGAGAAACAGGTGGGCCAGCTAAAGGCATGCGGTGGCACTCTGTCTCCTTTTTGACAATTCTTGGAAACAAATTTGAAAGGAAATTTAGAAATTGGCTTCAATAGTTGATGAAGCCCCTGCAAAAAAGGGGTTAATAGACAGGAACCCACTGCAGTAATATAATGAGATTCAAGCCTTCTGAGTTCAAATGAATGAACAGCCATTTAGTCAATCAACAAGAGGCCAAGAAGACGAACATTTGCTGCAGGATTATTTAGTTGGTATGTATTTATATTCAACATCAGAGCTGTGGCAGCAAAATCATGGCCACGGTGGCTGTCTGGGAATGTCTAATCTGATTTGGAGCAGGAGACTCTACCCACTGATGACATAATCTACTTTTCTTCTTGCTATGCTCTGAATGTTTGTATCTTCACAAGTCCTATGTAGAAATCCCAACTCCCGTGGCCCGTTAGGAGGTGGGGTCTTTTGGGAGGTGATTGGATCATGAAGGCGGAGTTGTCATGAATGGGATCAGTGCCTTCTAACAGGGGCCCAAGGGCGCTGTCTCTCCTCTTCTGCCACACCAGGACGCCCTGAAAAGGGACCATCTACGCATCAGTAAACAGGACCTCACCAGATACCCCATCTCCTCTTGGACTCTGTATTAGAGCCTCAAGAACAGTGAGAAACAAATTTGTGTTGTTTAGAAACCACCTGGTTGATTGTACTTTGTTAAGGCAGCCTGAATGGACTAAAACGCTCCCTGGATAAACTTAAACTTCCCAGTGCATCAGCCAGGACATATTAAAAATTAAAGAAGGATCACTATTATTTATGACTCTTACTACTCTTTTTTGCTTTTTAATTTTTTAAAAAATTATTGTAGTTATTTATTTATTTTTAAGGCAGAGTGAGACATTCACACACACACACACAGATATCTTCCATCTGCTGGTTCACTCCCCAAATGGCTGCAATGGCTGGAGCTGGGCCAATCCAAAGCCAGGAGCCAGGAGCTCCTTCCAGGTCTCCCACATGAGTGCAGGGGCCCAAGTACTTGGGCCATCCTCTGCTGCTTTCCCAGGCGCATTAGCAGGGAGCTGGATCAGAAATGGAACAGCTGGGACTCCAACTGGTGCTCACATGGGATGCTGGCATCAAAGGCAGCAGCTTAACCCAGCATGCCACAAAGCAGGCTCCTATTACTTCTTTAAAAAAATTATTTAAAAAATGATAATTAGCTTTTAACAGAATCATATAGTTCATAGATAAGTTTAAGAATGTAGTGATATTCCCTCCCTCCCTCCCTCTCCTTGTATCTCGTTCATTCTTTCTTCTTTTAGTTTTTGAGATAACATTTTATTTTATATTTTTTAAGATTTATTTATTTATTTGAAAGGCAGAGTGACAGAGAGAGAGAGAGAGAGGTCTTCCATCTGCTGGTTCACTCCCCAGATGGCTACAATGGCTGGAGCTTGGCCAATCTGTCCAGAAAAGCCTGGAACTTCTTCCAAGTCTCCCATGCAGGTGCAGGGACCCAAGTCTTGGGCCATCACCCAAGCTTTCCCAAGCTATAAGCAGAGAGCTGGATTGGAAGTGGAGCAGCTGGGACTCAAACTGGCACCCATATGGGGTGCCAGCACTGCAGGCGGCATCTTTACCCACTAAGATGCATACTCTTTTAAAGCAAGCATTCCTTTAGAAGTAGGCCCCAGACAATCTGGTGGAGTTGACCTCTTGACAAAAGCTCCCAGGACAGTAGCCACATATTCCAGAGGTGGGGCTCTGATGCCCGAGAGTCCCAGCCCCTCCTAACTGGTGCTGATCATTGGACGGCCTATGGAAGGGACCTCAGTGCCACCCCTGGGGACTCGGCTTGGGCCTCACTAAATGCCTACGGCCAGCTCATGCAGCCAGGGAGCACCTTGACAATATTTCATGTGGGCACCGCAACTTTAACCCTTTGAATTTTACCATCGAAAGCCCATTTCTAGGATTCATCATGCTCATTAGTAAATCTCTCATGCCACCAATTAAAAACCCACTTGACACTCACTCAGCCAGTTTTCCAAGTCTTAGGTGATGGCTGAGCGCTGATGAATGGAAGTCTTTCTGAGCTAACACTCTGACCACTCCTGGAGCTTCTATTAGAGCAGCGAAATGCCCCTAGAGCTGAGCTCCCAGCTAATACAAACCCAGAAGTCCATTCTCAACCACCAACTTTTTTTTTTTTTTTTTGACATCAGAGTTAGACACAGAGAGAGAAACAGAGAGAAAGGTCTTCCTTTGCCGTTGGTTCACCCCCCAAATGGCAGCTACGTCTGGATCACTGCTGCCGGTGCGCTGCGCCGATCCAAAGCCAGGAGCCAGGTGCTTCCTCCTGGTCTCCCATGCGGGTGCAGGGCCCAAGGACCTGGGCCATCCTTCACTGCCTTCCTGGACCACAGCAGAGAGCTGGACTGGAAGAGGAGCAACCGGGACAGAATCCGGCGCCCCAACCAGGACTAGAACCCAGGGTGCTGGCGCCGCCAGCAGAGGATTAGCCAAATGAGCTGCGGCGCTGGCCAACAACCAACTATTTTACGTTATGTACACCATAAAGTGAATGCATGCTCTTAATTGTCATGCTATAAAATCTGTAACAGACATTGTTCTTTCTAATTGACCCAGATAAACAATAAAATACCCATGCTGCCTTATTCTTTTTATAGAGACTCTTAAACCTTTAGCCCAAGTAAGAAAATACCAATGATCTCTGAATGACCACTTTTTATTGTGGTAAAACACTGTGCCATCTGCTCATTTAATCTTCCAAACCCAGGCCTTAGTCTTAGTGGGGCTCTGCCAGCATACCCGAGGCTGGGCACTGTGCACAGGAAAGGGGTCTGTTTGGACCCACAGTTCCGGAGGGGAGACTGGATGACATCTACCACAACACAGCAGGTGCCATAGCATAGCAGGACAGGGGAGAGCAGAAGAGGTTAACTTGCTTTCATGGTAGCTAATCTAGTCCCACAGGACCTACACCATTTCTGGGACATGGGCATCAATTCCTTCCCGGGTGGTGACCTCATGACCTCTAAGCCCCACCTCTTAAATGTTCTACTACCTAAATACAGCTAGGCTGGGAACCAAGCTTCCACCAAATAAACCTTTGGAGGACAAGCTACGCCCAAAAACACAGCAGCCAGGTATGTTACCACATTGCTCTCTGACAGAGCCTTAGAGACAGCAAGTGGTTTGCCCCAGATCACACAGCTGGAAACTGATGGACGTGGGACCAGGGTCTGAACCCCAGCCATGGGGAGACTGGACAAACTTGAAATGACCCTCAGTACCATGTGTGTGTGGAACTCTAGGTGGCTCAAGTTGTTCCAGGGACTGCAGAAGGCTGGGGTCAAGTTCCACTGCTGTCATCACATTCCAGAGAGACTTCAGCACCACCGTCTAAACCCGCCCGCTTGCAGCCCAGACCCTTGCCTGACCTAAGTCACCCTCTCCGTGGGGGCCCCAAGTGGATGCTTCATCCCCTCTTTGCAGACAGACATATCGAACCACGTCTTTTCATCTAAAAACACTGCAGCATTATCCTAATTTATGGAAAATTTGTCAGGTAAGACAAATCACATCCACACAAAATCAATT